CTGGCCACAGCATAAACAAACTTCGATATTAAACAATAAAGAAACGGAGCTTACTTCGAGATGTCCGTCTGCGCTTTTGGTACGGAAGAGAGAGACCGTCTGTTATTTTAAAGCAGTCACGTGGTCGACCGCTTGTTTTGGACTAATAGAGAAGCGGGAGAGAAAGACAGAGATAAAAAAAGGAAAAAAAAATCTTGAATGAACGAACACAAGGCGTCCCCCTCTGTGTCCGGGGCTGAGCAGATCAGATGGCGTTGTTCCGTTGATCTCAACAGCTAGGCCTCATGCACGCGCTGTCTGGAACGGTAGGAGCAGAGGCGGGGGGGGGGGGGGGGGGGGGGGGGGGGGTCTCCTTACACCAGATGAACTGGACGGGAAGAGAGCGAGTTCCGCTCTGCGCCTCGACTTTATAGACTCGTCCAGCGGGTGGTCTCTGTGGCGGCCGGTATCCACTGGCCGGTCAGACTTGGCATCGCGTGATGACATCATCAAGCTGCTGCCAACTGCAGAGGATCATGGGACATGGAGTCCCTGCTGGCGCTGATATTGTCTACGCTTCAGGGCGTAGATGCACAGTCCTTTGGAGAACATACTGCATAGTAATTTTCTCATGAGGGCAGGACCCCAACACACAACATGATGAAAAAGCAATAAATTATTTCAGTCAGTCCCCTAGCTGGTGAAAAGAGCTGGAAATTTTAAAAAGCCCAAAACAAAAAGACAAAAAATATCTCCCATAAAGGCAGAATGAAATTTATATTAGTATGGTGAAGTACTGTGCAATATGTTCACATCTATAAATTAAAAAGTAAACTATTATTCACACAATTGTGCCAAATCGAAAGTAAAAACTGCATATTTTAATACTTGAAAATGGAAACCTGAAAGAGAACAGCAAGGCTTGATTTATCATCTGACAAAAGCGAATGTTAAAGGTCTGAATTAACCCAAACCTACACTTCCTGCTTTAATTAAAGAAGCCACTGCATTCCTTTTCAGGATCACAGGCTTCAAAGCGGGTAAATAGTGATGTAGCTGGCAGAAAATACCAATTACAGTTAACTCCTGTGATTCTGTCAACAAACAGTGCCGTCTCGCTCTCATGCCTACAATATGTGGGCAAAACCACACAAGCATCAATGCTGACCCGATTTTACCTTCTGGTAACAGTTGACTGCAGATTGGGGGATGAAAGTGAGCTCTATTCTCAGACTGAAGTCAAGAATCTCCATCTGCTGTCATCGTTTCAAGATTGTTTTCACACAGAATCAAAAAGCCAAACACCCGCACTTTAAACTTTATGTGAAATCCTGCAGATGCCAAAAGATGATCCACATATGGTAATTTACTTTACCTCAAAAATCATTTGTTTAACCCACATTTACTTGTGAGAGTCTGAATGTCAGCAGGTCATTAACTATCCGAGTTGTCGGACTTGTTTGCAGCCAACAAAATCAGTGTCTGGTGAAAAGAAAGAAAAGAACACTTCCTCTTTGTGAGGTTCCAGAGAATAATCCAAGTCTGATTATCTGTTGAATTTGGATGAAGGTTGCTGAATTTTTGAGGCGGATGTTTCCAGTGGCGTTTCTGAGAAAAGGGTCCTTTTAAAAGGGTCAGGCAAACACGCCGCACGCTTCAGGAATTCAGCCTCATCAGCCACGGACCCACATTTAAACGTTCCACCGACAGGATTCTGCAGCTTCTTACAGGAGATGAAGATTTTCTACATATCTAAACGTAAACACTCGTGTTCTTGACTCAATGCTGCACTGTCAATGAAAATGGCTGAAAACTGGATGTAAAATTAATATGTAGATTATTTCTTTGTACAATTAAAAAAACTGCAACTTCTAATATTATAAATAATATTCAGTTTGAAGTTTTTCAACTTCATTAATTTGAATTTTTTTTACATTAATTTCTGGAGGATTTGTACAATAAATCAGAAAACAGATGATGAATTACTGAAAAATTAATTCCCTGAAGACAGTCAGATCTTTATAATCAAGACAATCCTATGATGAATTTTATTAGAAGCTTGAAGGCGTAAATCAGAAATGGCAAAGCTGTTCAGAATAAGCCAGACTGCTGCAGGGGAGTTGGTTTTGTTGTTCAAAAAAAGAGCCAAGTTCTCCAGTGAACCAATATTGCTTAATGCATCCAGGACCTGATGCTGTCTGTGATAAACATCACTAATGAAAAGAGGAAGAAACCTTCAAAATAAAAGCCCTGTTGTTTCTAACAACTAGATCAATGATTATCTTCTGAATATTGTTATAAATCTGGCACATTTTAAATGCAACCAATTTAAGACAGAAAATTAAACCAAACAGCCACTTTAACCATTTTAAATGACTGTTCCAGTTAGACACCAGTAAATCAGCTGGTCAGAATGACATGATAGTAGTCTGTTGCTTCTATTTTTAACTCAAAAGGATGTAAAAAACTGAGTAAAAGACTTAAGCCACCACTCATGCTCCTAATTTCTCCTTTTCCTCTTGTCTAAAATCTTTTCAGAGACTCATGGTGATCCATTAAATGATGCAATGGTTCCTTCTCTGTTTTTTGTCTGTCTTTGGGTGTACGGCGCTCCTGCATTTTTTCTGGAAACTGGAAATTATTAAAAATGTATCTGGTCAGTTGGTCTCTCAACACGATTGACAAAATTTTTTCTACGATGAGAACGGGAGAAGGGGCTCCTGGGTGCCCCTCTGGGACAGGGCCGGTTGGGCATATCATGGACTCCTGGAAACAGTGGAACCTGATCTGCCTCTCTCAACTGTCTGTAGAGGATTCTGAAGACGTGTGGATATTCGTGGTGTTGGTGTCAGGTTTCTTGCTTTTTGGCCTGAGCAGTTACCTGGCTTACCGGAAAATCAATGAGCTGTCGAGGAATATTGGCTCAATCCCGGAGCTCAGGGATGGATTACACCGCGCTGTGAACGCACAAACTCATGTAATTGTCGAGATGAGTCGTAAGCTTGGAACTTTGGCTGAGATTCAGACTCTGGCACAGAAGGTGGATTCGATCAAGGAGAAAGTTGACAGATCAGCACGGATTGGGATAGATTAATTACGCCATTATTGGATTTAGAGGGGTTGAAGACGAACAGAACTTTAAGACAGAGAGGAAATTATCTCTGTCTAGCCCCAAAACAAGTTCTTATCTGAATCTGGTGCCCTTGAGCCTGTGAGGCTGAAGAGATTACTCCCCCTCAAAAGAAATGTGGAATGCGGACGTCGCCATGACAACTCTGTCTCCCTATCCCAGCCTGGGCGGGACTGCGACCGGTGAAGGCCGCTGAATCGTTTCCAGGAGTCACTGTGCTTTCTAAACCAAACTACCTCCCTCCCCTATCCAAACGGAGGTGACGAGCGCTGCTTATCTTGGCTGCATGCACTGATGTGTGGAGAGTCCCCAACCCTACCTCCCCACCTAGTGGACACTTATGTTGTGTTATGTCTGAAATCTGTTGCATTTCTGTCTGAGGTGTTTTTTGCATAGCAAAGCTGCCCCCCATGGAGGGTAACTCTGAAGTGCCTTTTTTTCCTCCACCTGACTCAATCCTCATATATAAAACCCTCTGATCTCTATTAAGGTAGCTCGACTCAGATTGCGAATGACCATAGTCACCAATTCTTGTCATGTGTCTATGCCTATGTATGTATGTCTGATCTCAGAATTGTGTGTACTGAAACTCTAATTTCCCTCTGGGATTAATAAAGTATCTTTGAATTGAATTGAATGACTCATAGGTCAATTTTGAGTAGATCAACAGTGAGAAACAATGGGAAGATTGAGGTAAAAATATAAAAGCCTGGATGCTTGAAAGGAAAATACAAAGAAACAACATTTTTATCTAACTACGTGTCAACTTCAGTAGACTGGTCCTTCGCTTCACCCCTCCCTCACCCTCAGCCATCCCTTTTCAGTCACATCTAACTTGGATTAATGGTCTCCCTGTGTCCAGATGTTGCATAGTGACGGAGGAGGAGGGTGGAGCTTGCATACTTGTGCAACCTCAGCGACAGCTTTCCTTCTGAACAGCCCTAATTTATGTAAGATCCTCTGAAACAGAGCAGGCCTGTAAAAGTGTGAAGCAAAAGTCTAGATTTGAGGGTGTTTGCTCTTCTGTTCCGAAACTCTGAGTGAAAATAAACCCAATGACACTTAAAATACATGTAAGTAAATTACTTTCAACTTATTTTCAGTTTTAGAGGTAGAACTAAATGTTGATACCGGAAATAAAATGTAAAGGGACATCCCAAAAGGGGGCTAGAGTTAGTTCAACAGTCATGTCGCAAGAGAAATGGTGCACTTGATACCTCATAATTACCATCAGGGATTGGGGAGCATTAAGGAGCTCCCGGGACGTAAGAGGATCAATGTACGACTATTCATTTCACTCTCAGAGAGCGCCTAGCTGTCACCAATAAACTGTTATTCCCAGTGGGGCTGCACGTCGGGACAAACCACGCCATTAAGAGACAGCAGACAAACACTGTTTTCATGCGCAAAGTTACTGACAACAAACATGAAAACTGATCTGAGATCACCCCCTACGTCTTCCTAGAGTTCCGATTTTACGAATAAGCACCAGGATGCTGCTATCAGCTGCAGACATTAATAAGGCCTGGTATTGTTACTATTATTATTAGGGGGATGAGATGAGACGTTTTTGAGTAAACATCCTAAATGTTGCGATGCTTTTTCTACCTGCTGAATATTCAAACAGTGAATAACCTCCCTATCTGCTGTCCCCACAGGAAGGCCCTTTTTGTCTGCTCTGACGCAGACACATATTTTAGGCCAGAACACATCAGTGCTGTTTATTTGTGCGGTGCATTCCCCTTTTAATAAGTCTTGTGTGGCACAATAATACCTTAGAATAAATACAGCCTACAAGATCCGCTTCTGCCTTGATCGCAGGCCTTTGCACAGATGCTTTGCTGTGAGAAGTGCTCTGTGGGGGGAAAGGATGACACAACAGGCTTCTTACCTACGGTTTCACCGTTAGGAGATATGACCTCCAAGCAGAGAATAAATCCCAAGTAGAACAACCTCATCGCCATCTCCTGAGCAATGCCCGATGGCACTGCTGGTAATAGAGGAACAGTTGGCTGGATTTGTGAAAGCAAACAGCCCGATCAACCACCTCATCCGAACCGTGAGTGGTCCGGGGTGCGATTGTCCCTCCAGTTGCACCCTCAAGCCTGTTCAGACGAGCTCCGGCGATAAAAGGAGACCTGCTACAGCCCTGATGAGGCTACAAACGAAGCAGCAGCGCAGTCAAATATATTTATGTTAAATTATCGGTATTCAGACATCATGATGCGTGTGTAGCCTCTTTCTCCCAGTCTGTGCCTGTCGATGGGGGTCTTCTCTACTTCACAGCTCCCTGTGCCACCGGAACCGTGCTGCTGCTGTACGCACAACAAGATGCGCTTCAGATACTGAGTGAGTGCGCTCGGCTCAGTCCGTGCAGATCCCCAAAACCCAAACGGAAAGGTAAAAAACAGGTTTGTTCCGTCGGAGCGCCAGCGTCTCCCTGCGCATGTGGGTGCATGAGTGGATGGTCAGCCTCTCTCATACGAGCTCGTGACGTAACGCTCAAGTACTCAAAAAAATGGGATTTCTAAACGATTAAAGTGCGCATGCTCAGAAGTCACATCTTTCTCTCTTTTTCTCTAATTTCATGCGCTTTTTTCGCGAAAGGCTTTCTTACCCCTGACCGCGGAGGTGGGAGAATATATGGCAAGCCTTTTTAACATTTAATAAAACTAAGCTCTCGTTTCTCTACTTGTAGCATTCATTCTACAATTATAATGTCTCCAGATTTTTGAACATAACTTGAAAGCATTTGTTTAATGATTAATGTGGACGTCCGATATCGTAATTTATTTTTGAAATGTGATTTTGGCTTAACAACATTGTTTTCAGTCATTGTTAAAGGTTATGAAATCCGTATAATTAATAGTGACACATTCCTGAATATCTGCAACATTTGTGACGAATATGAACGCAGAAATGAAATAATGCTTTGCGAAGTCTGTTTAACTGTTATATGATAAATTGGCTTGCCTTCATAATAAACTGGACGCAACAGGCGCTCATAGAGCAGCCATGTTGGCTCAACGTGAGTTTAACTGCCTTCTTCACAAGACAAAGTTGATTTTACTTTAAACAATGTTCATAATATAATACAACATAAATGTCTGCATTTTTTCAAGAGTTTTCTAACATGGGACTTTTATAAGTAAATTTAAGAAAGCAAATAACGGTCTTTAAAAATACATAACTACATTGAGAATAATCAGTTCAGATATATTGTTTTTAGTTTATATGGAAAAGCAAGATCAGCTGAGGTCAATGTTTTACTTCAAACTCAGTATTTTTCATCAAAGCATGCCCCCTAGTGGCGGAAAAATTCTACTTGCATGATACTCATCAATATAGGTTAGGATCTTGTGTAAGCCACTGTAGAGACAGGGGCCACCCTGGACAGGTCTCCAGTTCACCCCAGGTCAGGTCTACACAGAGACATAGTTTTGGTCTTTGGGAGGAAAAGCACACATGCATGAGTAAAAACATGCAAACTCCGTACAGAAAGCTCATAGCTGAGATTCAAACCTGCGACCTTGCTTCAAGGCTACACTGCCGACTGTGTGTTAATGTTTTCAGTCCAGAAACATCTAAATAATCTCAACAATATTTCCACTAACGATGAAACATTTCGTGTTAATTTTATTTTAGTTAAAGTTTTTTTATTTTATTTTATTTTATTTTATTTTATTTTATTTTTTTTTTTGCAAGAGTGGAAAAATGCAAAAGGTGCGAGATTGAGTAATAATCCCGATCTGGTGCAGATTCATTGTTTAAAGTCCAATGAATTTTTTTTATGGAGGATGATCTGTCTGAGTAAACAATTAGAGGTTTGGATAGATTTCATGTTTTAGTTGGCTGGTTAGTTTAGTTAAAATAAATCCATGCTTTGGAAATTCAGACTTGAAAAAATGAAGCTAGAATTATATATCAGTGAGAACAAATAGCTCTATATAAATGTAAAAGTCATAATACGATGTTCAGTTAGTTACATTATTACAGTTATACTTACAATTAATGGCGTAATTAGTATTTTTTTCAAAAGGACAAACCCTTTATTAAACAACATAATGTATCCAGCCAGCAGGGGGCACTGTATACACACATTTTACAGAGAAATCTAGCCTAAATTGGGTAAACAATATAAATGAAATCAGATTTAAAGTTGTATTTGGCATTAGTTTTTTTTCATGAAAATGTTTAGTTATAGTTAGTAGCATCATTAGAGACTTCTGTAACAATGATTCTGATATGTTCTTATGCTGAGTGTTTAGAAAGAAGGAAACATTCTTTTTATGGATTTTCAGTTTCCAGATGTTTTTCCTGAGCCTAAATCTTGGGAGAGAATGTGAAGTATGTGGAGAATCTGAGAAAAACTTGTCCCAAGTGTCTGGATCTTTATTTAATCAGAACACATTTCAGTCCACGCTCTTTCAAATGTTTCAGTGCTCTATAAAATATATTTATTTCACAAATATTAGTGCTTGTGCTCCTTTTCAAGAAATATTTATTTGAGTTTTCTTGTTTTCTGGCAGGAGAGAACCAGTGGTTCTGGTGTCACCTCAACCCCAGAAAGCCCCTTTCATTGAAGATGCGTTGAGCACTGTCATCCAAAAAAGAGACAAGACGCCAGCGTGCTGTGTGGGAGACAGCTTGAAAGAGTGCCAACGTAAACACTCCCAGACCACATGTTCTCCCAGGGCAGAGGGGCTGGCCTTCCTCCAAGCACATCTGCACACAATCCTTCAGCTCTGAGCGAGCTGGCCAAGAAGAGCAAAACAAAATCCGAGCGGGGAGCAGAGTGTTCCCAGACAGCAAGAACCTGCTTTCTCTTTGATCCCAGTTATGTCAGCAATGAAGGTGAAAGCATCTGACAAAAAGAATAAAAGAAAAGAACAACATTCAGAGGGAGTAAAGCAAAACTCGTCTCTTTTTATGCAAGCTTGGTAGAAAATCTGAGTGTGAAGGAGCCCCATTAGGCCTCCTATGAAGTTTAGAGAAAAAATAAAGCTGATGTTTGACATGGCTTCACTTTTCTGGTGAGTTAAAAATTACACATATCAGCATTCCTGTAAGAAAAGATTAAAATCTTGCTTGTGCTCTTTGGATTTGCTAGCAAAGTGGTGCTTTTGTGCAAATTTTCACAGGAAGGTAATTACTGAGCATGCAGTCCTGACAGCACCTGAGGAATGCAGAGTATGCAACATCAGCCTGTGTTCTCCACGACCCCCCAACACTCTCCGCCCCACCTTTTAGATCTCCTCTATCTGCAAACCCTCCCCCCTGCAGCAAGAACACCCATCAAACACAAAGTTAAACATTATCTTTAGGTTTCAATAGCTTGAAAAACACATTTCTGTTACTGAGCTTATTCTACAAAGATGACATGTAAACTAAAACTGTTAAATCAGATTTTTTTTGTTTTTTTATTAGTGGATGAAACCCAGTCAAAGCTGCCAGCGGGCGTCGTTATTCCTGTTTCTGGTGAAATCACAGCGTATATTTGTCTGACTGAGTCACTCCTCACACTGGCCTTGAGCTCTGGAACTTGCTGCCCATCTGGACAAACACACACACACACACACACACACACACACACACACACACACACACCAGCGTATCAATTCACCACATGGGTTTAAACAAAAGGGTTGAAGGACTCTAGGTGACCTAAGTGTGTTTTCAAATACTTTAGGCAAATTTTAAAACAATTAAAATTTAGCTGGTGATGAAAACACAAATTTGATCTTAATGCAAAAGTCACTACATGGTTCAATGGTCACTTCATGTGTTTGGAACAGTAAAATAAAAAGAAGATTTATGAATTCATCTGAGCCTTTTCAGTCTGTCTGAATGCTCCCATTGTGATGAAATCTGGATGAAATCCATTGTTGCATGTAGACTGCATGAGTATTTGGGGCTCTATACTCTGAATTATGCAGATGTAAAAGTATGCAAAAGCTGTGACAAAAAAAGCACACTGTGTGGCTGAACGAGCAATTGCATATGTTTTCCCCTCACTCGAGGGCCAATCAGTCAGGGTAGAAAGGACACAGCTGAAGAGTGAGGGGATTTAGCTGCCAAGAGATTCCTTTAGACACAAACACTTTCTTCTTCATAAGATTAGAGGTGTCAAAAAGCATGATAATTCATGAGAACATGGGAGAATGTGTGACCTTTTGTCATTAATTTATTCAAAATCTCTTTAAATATGGGTGGTTTCAATACAATTATGAAAAATTTCTAATAAACTTAGTTTCTTTTAAACAGATTCATGCAAAAATATATGCAACTTCTGCAACTAAATGAAGGCAGTTTCTTTAGAATAAGTAATGTACTCAGTGAAGGAAAACTGCTTTCAAATTTAGAAAAGGACTGTGAAAAATATATAAATTGTATGTTGCAGAAAAGCTTTTTGTTTTGGGGTTATGCTTACTTTATGTAATCATCCACTCTGTCTACTTCCCTATTTTTATCTCTCAGAAAAAAAATCCATATTTTTGTAACCTACTTTTGTTTTTATCAGATCTCAGTGAATCATGCCTTTTTTTATAATCGGGAAAAATAATATTAGTCCGCTTTCTGTCACTTGTGATGCATCATAGTTTAAGGAATGACTAAAACAGCCACATTCCTGCTTCAAAACTATTTTGAAAAAGTGGTCATAATCAACACTTGTTCTTTAAATGTTGTTTCAGACTGTTGTGGTAAAGGAAACGTAAGACGGTCCTCATCCGATGGACATGAGATTCTGATTATTCAAGAGAAATGAGAAACGTCCTCCGTGGGGTGGCTAGAGTCTGTTAGAGAGATGGTGAGAATCTCCTTCATCCTGCTGTAGCTTGGGATGGAGATGCTCCTCCTCACTGAACTGAGTCAGCTGAGATGGTTCAGGCATTCAATGTCTCCTGGTTGTCTTTGAGTTTGTCTCACTGGGAAGACACTTTCAGTTTGACCCAGAATTGGTTCTTGCCAAATGTATCCTCTTTTGTTTGGGAATGACTCAGGAAAGACTGTGAAAAAGCATAAAAAAAACGAATGAATGAGTCAGTTAATTGATGATCTGCCTTAGCAATCACTCATTTAGGCAGTTCTTCACCGCAATCATCAAGTTCATTCTCACCTCTTCAATCACCGTGTGATACGCTGGAGCCACCATCAGTGACATGAAAAGACTTCAGCGTGTCATGCACTCAGCTGATAAGGTCACTGGCTGCAAACTCCCCTCTATACAGGACCCGTACACCTCAAGGACCATTAGGTGTGCAGATCGGATCACAGCAGTCCCGTCTCACCCTGGACCCATCTGACAGGAGGCTCCGATCCACTTGGACCAGAACTTCTCGCCACAAAAACTGCTTCTTCCCTCTTATGTCAATCGTAGACCTGCCCATTCCAGCTGCTTTGCTTCAGTCACATGACCCTAGTGTTGTGTTTGCACCTGAACTGATCCGCTCTGACCAGTACCTACACTAACTTGTAAAGTAGCTGCTTCTCTAAGTATTGTCTCCTTGTATTATCATTTCATTGTGTTTATTTCTTAATTCTAATTGTTGCTTTTCATTGATTTTATTTTCCTTTCACCAAGTACCACAGCAATTTCCTAATGTTGTGATTCTCGCACATATTGCAATACAACCCTTCTGATTCTGACATTTATTTATTAAAGGTGGAATATGGAACACAAACACCAAAGCGACATCTAGTGTGTGGAGGTTGTAGTTGCAACAATAGAACAACGTTTCCAGCCGTCGGGACACCAGGATCGCTGCTGTTACGTGAAGTGTTTGGGTCCATCTGCTGTAGGCTTCACCTAAACTCACTCTGGTTTCAGATCTTTTATGGTCGCTCCTCTTCCGAGAAAGATAATGACATCTTCTTGGCTCAGAAGCAGCTGCTTGACTTGCTGAGTCCACCATTTTCCACAGTGCCAGCCTCTCTGGTGGACTGTTTGGTAACCTACAATTGCTGGTAGCTGTAAACATAAACACAGTGTCATGCCCGTCAAAATAAATGATTGTTTTAAATTGAAACACAGCTTTAAAAAAACACTGTACCTTCATTCTGTACACCTCTAAACACTTCATGGAGGTATTATTTTTTTATATAGCTTATTAAATTTCTCTATTTTCAACCTTTAAAACAAACTTTGTGATAAACAAAATGGAAATAAAGAACATCTTAATCTGAAAGATGGTGAAATGTACATGTTTGAAACTCTCAAATGAAGGTGGCCTAAATCCAAGAGGCCAGAAAATACAACTCAGTGACACAAATGTGCTCCAGCACACTGGTTTCAATGGGTGGCTGCTGATGAAGGTTCTCAGTCATCCAGGTCATGGTAATCCAAAGGGTTTCAACTGGAGGCAACTGGACTTCTTTGGTTTCTTGAAGATGTTTCGCTTCTCATCCGAGGAGCTTTGTCAGTTCTGACAGGAATATGGGAGGGTCAAGCTTATAAACCATATATGTCTATTGTTGTTAAAGGAGCTGAAACTACTTCAGAATACTTCTCATTTTCCTCTGAGTCGTTGGAGTCATTAGACTCGAGTGTGGATGGTTGTTTTGATTAGATGCAGGAGTTTGGCTCCAAATAATTGTAGTCACAATTGTTTCTTGGTGGGTCAGAAGCTGAAAAGTTATTATTATTATTATTATTATTATTATTATTATTATTATTATTTCTAGCCAAAATTGTAACTTTCTCAGTGTGCCAAAATGTATGATGGTGCGTAAAGGTAATCTGTTTGATTTGGCACCAGATGAGTCCCTCTCCCTAAACCTTGCTCACCCGTGTGTTATTTGGCAGAAACGGGATTTCTAAACGTTGTGAGAGTTATCCATCTCCTGAGGGTAAAAGCTTCCCGCTCTCGCCCTGACATGGAGATAAGAGATCCGACTGAAGCTTTAAACATATAGGCTGTGCGTGAGGGGAGTCCATCAGAGCGACTCCAATCACCGCCGCTGTTCCTGGCTAAATTTCCCTGCCTGACGTCAGCTGACTCTCAGCTCCTCCGGACACAGCGCCGCGTAAAAAATGCTGCTCTCGGTGCCGCCAAGGACAGGAATCAGCCCGTACAACGGCTACACCGGAAAAAACATCAAGAAGGTAAACGCCACAGCTTATTCATCTCGCTAAAAGTGAATGCAGGGTTTTTCCTCGACGCAGTTGTTGTTCCAACTCTGCCCCCATCCAGCTAAAATCTGCGCGGCTGTTTTACGCTGCAGTGTCCTTGAAACTGGACCGCGCTACAACTCTCTTTCTCAGCAGCTGCAGCATTCGTTTTTGTCTTTCTTCCCTTCGTTTCTCGGGTAAAACCCAACACCAGGGCCTGGTACATTGTTCCCTGTGGAGAACAGTTGCTTTCGTTTGTTCCGACGCGGCTCTCTTCCTATTTCCAGCCTGCGCTCAGTTTACAAATCAGTCGTAGACGCGCGTAAAGGCGGAGAAAAAACCCTTTAAGAGCGCTTTGTGTCCGACTTTATGACCACGGATTATGGACGCGCTTACTTGTGCGATGTTATTATTGAATTTAACACAAATTTTTAAAGTTTTTCTCTGCTTTACGCGTTCCTTTACGCCCCACCCCTTCAGAAATGACTATTGAGAGGGTACGCAAAGCGCAAAAGCTGTGGAAACCCGCACAACCCGAGCCTTAAGCCTCTTTAAAAGCACTTACATGATCAATTAGGGTGCATACATTAGGTATAGGGTACAATGACTCTGATCCTTGAACTGTATAAACTGTGGTATTGATTGAATTGCTCAGTGGAATTAATAATTCATGAGGTCACGTTATTATCTATTTCCAGTCACCCAGAAAAAATGGGACTTGTGTCCAGGAAACCTTTTTAAGTATAAAGCAGTTGAGATTTAAATCCAAATCTTCAAAACGGCACAAATTGTTAAAATGATCTTTAATAAGCATCCTTAAAAGCTGAACTAAAGCACATCCCTGCTGGCTTGTGTAATTCCCACGGCATGCTCACAGCTGGAAGGAATTGAGATTGCTCAGATTAATGACTCGGAATTCCTGGAATTCTGCATTCAGACAAAGTGTTCACTTCAACAGGGGGCTCTACAAACTCAAGCCTTCTCTAAAGGAACACTTTCTCCTCTTTTGAACATCTCATTGTCAGAGAGGTAAAGTCACACAGAGGGGAGACTTAAATCCAGCATCAAGTTGTAAGCCCTTTTTGTGTCATGACAAGAAACATGGAGAATGGTGGAAAAGGATAAAGAGACACCCCATTTTCCTCTACTTCCACTAACCCCTGTGGTTTTTTTCCTCCCGTGTTTGACATACTTTGGTTTTCTGTTCTGTCGAGGTTTTTGAAACATGAAGATGAAAGTGGAATGATTCAGAAGAAGAGTAATGTCACCTTACTGCTGCTGAACATCAAGGCTTTTCTTATCTGGGGTTTCCTACCTTTTAGTGGTTTGTTTTGCCATGATTATTTTGCCTGAAGCTGCAGGGATTAAATACAAAGATTGTATTCGTTTTACCATATATATTAACACCGTATACCAAGCAGGTATGGGACCCACTTTTTGGTGTGAACATAGAAAAATAAGCAATATCTGCTCGCCCAGCTAAGCAAGTTAACCCTCTGGAGGCAGGCGTTGCAGATTTACAATGTTAAAATCTACCTACCTGGTTACTCCACCTATGTATTTCATGAGCATTTTTAACTCAGAAGTACCCCTGAAGGACTTAGTTGTTCGTCCTTTTATCAAAACTTATTTTCAGCCTGAGAGAGTTATGCTAATGTTCAAAATCCTGCTGAAATCTTAACACAACTTAAGCAAAGCTGGCTGAGTAGAGAGATGTGCCACAACAAACCCTAACAAGAAATGCATCCGGCTCTCCCTTTAACTCTTATTCTTCTTTTGTTGAACTTAAAAAGTCCTTGAGGTACGTGCTCTCTCAACAGGCATCACCTGTGCTCCAGCTGTAATCATCTCATCAGTCTTCAGTCGGTGCCTGGAGCACACACCCATCCGCAGCACCATGCTGGTGGTGACAATAGAAACAGCACCGATATTTATCTTTCTGCTGAAATAATGACCAAGTCTGATGTGAGGACTATATACTGCACATTTCCAGATTTTCTTTATGCGTAAAGATCGGAAATGACAAACCAATAGATAATTAAGTCCCTGTGATTTTTCTCTTGTGGGTGTGTTTTTCAGTGGAGATGGCTCCAAGAGGTTGTGATGTAGTGCAGTTGAAACACCCCATTATTTTTGAGGTGAATCCATAAATGTATAGAGAAGTATAAACAGATTTGCACAGTGAAGAGATTAAATCCATGGCTTGCCAGGAGTTCTAGTTTTCATCACAAATGAACTGAGAGATCATGAAGTCTTGCAGGCTGTAAACTGAGATGCCATCTCAGGCTAGAATCCAGCCATAATCTCCTGTTTTAAGTGCGCTCATGTTCCTCTGCAGGCACATTTGCTTGCGCCTGCACAACAGCAGTGAACATTACCGTACATGGATGGCAAAACACCTTGGGCTGGTGCAAGTGCAGTTGGTGGGTAGATGCGCTGTCGTCTCCCTCCCATCTTTTTTCTCAGATGAAGCTTAGCAGAGTGTTTTAATGAGACACTGCCTTCTGACTAGGGTGCACATGAGAGGGATTAGCACTTTAACAAACTAAGGTCCCAATTAGACAGGCCTCAGCAACCAGGCTGGGCTGCAGGCTCGGTCTCCCGTCAGGTCCTATCTCTCAGAGGCTCTGCAGGTGCGTCCCTCCTGATAGTCTGTGGAGGCAGCCTGAAGCAGAGGAGGAGGCTGCGATTGTGAGCAAACCAAAGTGCACTGTTTATGAGTTTTTTCTTAGTGATTCTGCACGCAGTCAGTTATGACCTTTGCTAAAATGATTACATTAATATTCATGTGCAGTAAAAAGAAAGAACAACATTGTTGACATCAAATAGCTCTTTTCAAACATGAAGGACACATTTAACTGTGTGTCAAACAGCTAAAGGTTATATTTCAACCTTTTGATGTGAGTGACAGTATTTGACCAATCAAACAGGTTTAAAGGGCCAGTGTGTAGTTTCATGGCACTGGTGGGCAGTACGTACATTTCAGGGTAGTTTTACACCATGTCGCCATGACTGTCGCCAATTTAAAAAAACATTATGGTAAATGTTGTTACCTGTAATGCAGAAAGCATGCAACCTCGGCTTGTCTCCTCTAGCTTTGATGGTCCTTCACTTAATTCCATCAAGAGATTGCAATGCTGATTGTAGTTTTCTGGGGCTGTAGTTTCCAGATCTGCTGAAGGTCCTGCACCTGCGCCTGCCATGACGTCATCATACTGCGGCAATACCGCTCAGCCAAAATATATTGCATCACCTTTTCAAATCTGTTCTCTCATGTAGGTTTTGGAAAGAGTTTTGCAGTTTTGTTATTAAATTCACGTTTCTTACTGCTTAAACGTTTTTGAATGTGGTGACATCATAAAGTCATATATCCTGCCAATCAGCTAGTGTGACGCCATCGACAGGTGCTGGACCCCCAGCCGGCCAGAAGGAAACATGATGTCTAATATGGTGCCCTCAAAGATGTAGACCCGGTACTTTAGACAGATTTCTATGATTATATGTTACGAAGCCACTGATATTTTTTAACAACTGAATGAAATTTTATTCATTTTCAACGTTTTGGTGGATATTTCCACAGATGAAAGTTAAAAATACACATTGTCACTTGAATGCACGACAGGATGTTTATTCCTCTATTTCCACCCAGCTTCATACTGACGTATTGATTCTTGGAATTTCCCATCCCTGTGTTTTCATCAGTTTTAGATACATTTTTAACATAAGTTTTATGCGTCTATGTTGCTTTGAAATGTTTGAATCTTAATATGAAGGATTAAATAATTGATAGGAGCAGATTCATATCAATCAAGTCACAAAGTGACATTTTCCTCTTTGTGGTTAGTGCAGAGGTTATGGGGTTTAACAAGCCAGCATGGATCGATACGACTAATGCTAAGTCTTGTTTTGTTTCGCCTCGTCTTGTTTTGACCATGAGTCAAAGGTCAAGAAGATCAAACCAGCATAGATCATTACACATCTCATCATAATCTAGGTGACTCTTTGATTTATTTAGATGAATAACACAAAGAAAACATGAATACATACATTTTTATTTGACCTATTTTAAAATAACACGATTTTCTCTTTTTAATTTAAGTGTGCAGTGGCAACCTAACCTATCCACATATTTTAAATGACTACAAGCAGCTACGTAAGGAAAGAAAACAAATAACTCATGATTATCTCATTAACAGTCATGGTTGATTTTACGATGGATCAGAACAAATTCTGTGAACTCACTCACCTCAGCTACTCATGTCACTCTTCCTCCCTCTGGTCTGACCTACTGACCTAAGCTATAATTAAACAGCTCCCCTTCTGAAAGGAGGCAACACCAAAACCACGTGCAGCTGACAGGTTTTTTAAAAATGCACCAACCTACACAGCCTTAGGACTGAAATAAATCTTACATTCCAGATTATTTGTGCAAATATTTTCTAATTTTGAGGTTATTTTATTTCTGTAGTGTGTGTATTTTCTCTAAAGCACCACTGTCAAGCACCACTTGGTTCCAGAACTTTAATGTCATCAATTTTAGCCTTTCATCTCGGTGCAGAATGATAGGCATGAGATTTTAGGGCTGCAGTTTCTTCACCTCCTGCCAAAGTAGTGCATGGTTTGGGAAACCAAATGACCAGCAAGAGACTAGAACAGTGGTACTCACTCCTGGTCGTGGAAAGCCGGTATCCAGCATATTTTCCTTGTTCCTCTTCTCCAACACGCGTAACTCAGTGGCTGAATCCTCTGTGCAGCAGCTCATCAGGCTCTTCAGAAGCTGCCTAATCACCTGCTGATTGAAATCAGGTGTGTTGAAGCAGAGTTAAAAGTAAAACATGTTGGATATCAGCCCTGCAGGACCAGGAGTGAGTACCACTGGATGAGAGTATTGGTTCAGTTTTACAAGTCATGTTGTGTTTGTGCATTTTTATCATCTTCCATCTGTTCTTTTCTCATAAAAATGTTTTTCCCATACCTGTTTTATTATTGTCCATCTCAATTCACCTTTTCTTGCACCTCACTGGGTCAGATTGAGCAATAAATTTTATAAACAACCAAGCTCATCGTCATTGGCTCCATCTGGTAGAACTGACATTTCACAACCAGCTAGCTAACTATCAATTTGTACGTCGATTTTTATGTCTCAGTGAACCATTTCATATCTGATTGTTCTTTCTGCTTTTTGTTTCACAACAGACATATGTGTCCCCCTCCAGCCATCACATGGCTTCTCCAAGCCCCAACAGCAACAACAGTAGCAGCACTATCACCCTCAGCAACGGCGGCAGCAACAGCACTGGAGGAGAGCAGCTCAGCAAAACCAACCTTTACATCCGTGGCCTTCCTCCAGGAACCACAGACCAGGATCTGGTCAAACTCTGCCAGCCGTAAGTCACACACAAAAAATAAAAAACCAATAGCCTTGCTGTCTTGGTGCACACCTAGTAAATCTCTGTGGCTGTCTGCTGTGAGCATGAACCTTGTTAGAGGAGCAGAGTCGATTGCTGCAGCTCTGAGTGATGAGCGATAGCTCACTGGCTGATGTCAACACGGGCAGATGCAGCAAATGGATGGCTTTCTTACATTAGAAATGCACACGAATGCTAAAACCCTCCGTATTTATTTATTTAATCTGAAAAGGAGTTAATTTATAATATAGCTTTCTAAGGAACCATTCATCCCTTGTATGCAAACACTTTCCCATATCTGTCTCTTTCACACACACATCTCATTTTTGTCGTACAGTTTGATGACAGTCAGGCCGTGTTATTGACAGACATAGTCAAACTCATAAATACAAAACTGCAGCTCATCGACACGATTGTGAGGCTTCAAAAAGTCGGACATCAAACAGCGCCATCGTCTAATCCGTCGGATATGTTTGTTAGGCCTTGGGTGGAAGACATCAAAACACAGAGGGCTGAGATGAATGACTTGCTTTTACCTAATTGAATTCTGGAGCCTGGTGATGAGAACCAGAAGAGTGGAGAAAAAGAGGGAGAGAAGAAAAAAAGGAGGGAAACTGGAAGGAGGGTGGGTGGGAGGGAGTTAGGGAGGGTGGGTGAGGCCCGTTATTTTACAGCTGTCTGGAAGATATGGCTCACATGAGGCTGCCCAGCCCTACAGGAAACGGCAAACTCAGGGGAAAGGGAAAGACAAACAAGGGCAGCGGCGTGGGGGAGGTAGGGGTCGAGGATGTGGAGAGTCAGAGGGGGAGGAGTGAACCGAGTCCAGGGTTTGTGTGTCAGGTGGTGTGTGTGTGTGTGTGTGTGTGTGTGTGTGTGTGTGCGTGTGCGTGTGCGTGTGCGTGTGCGTGGGAGTGGTTCTCATATTTCAGCTTTCACACAGCAGATAAAATCATCGCATGAAATTTGCCTTTTAGCACGGAACATTATGGTCGGTGTAATTTTCACGTAAACCGCCTGAAGGAGAGCCTTGCTTCCAATCATGAGGATGTAAAGTAACAAAAGAACCACAAATCAGACTTTGGGTTTGCACATGAAATGTTCAAACCAAGACATTCCCTAAAGCTCCTGCTGAGATTCACTGTGCCCAGAGTTCAGGATCCGAGGAAGGAATGTGAATTGGTTCTCCTTCTTCGGCTCGGGATCTTGCCCTTTCTTGTCTCTAGTTGTTTGGCAATGAATGGACACTGGGCTGGACTGTGTAAGACATGCTGTCTCACACATGGCTGAGTCTACAGCCCCTCTTTCCACTCTGCATCATGCAAGCAGAGGCCTCTGAACACAGTTCAGCATCCAGAACAAGCGTGCATGTTGAGCTCACTGCCTAAAGCCGTTTAGATGTGAAGTGGTGAACTTTGTGAGCTGCTGCTGCAAAAGTGTCAATGGATAGCCGCCCAGTTCAGTTAGTAATAGTTACTCTGGTCAAGGGGACTAATTCTAAATACAACAGAGTAGTTAATATCTTACCTGTTGTAGATACCTCTTTCAGTGGCCTCAGTTTAGAGAAATACAGATTAGTTCTGATCAGACTGATGAGCTAACAGCTAATCTGGATGAGAGCTTGTTCCAAACTGGATCACTGCTATTTAAAAACTCTAATCTCAGAAATGCCACAGCTACAGAGCTGCTAAGGGGGCATCTGAGGGAAAAAACGGTGAAAAGTGTATTGTGGCTGCATTTGAACTAAGAAAATTCATAAATCTTTGATGTGCTACACATGGTTATTTACATAGAATTATATAGTTACTTACAGAAGATATTAGTGGAAGAACACTTTCTGTCACAATTTCACATTTCTACGAGAATAATTATTACTCACCATTTAGTTAAAAACAGTCTCAAAATTTTAAATGACCTTGAAATTAACAGCTAAAACATTTTTGGGGGGAAATAAAAAGGTTTCCACTTTGTAAATGGTCACACTCTTACTTAGATTTGTGAATCTGGTCAGTACTAATCTCTGGTTTTCCAAACTGAGGTTGTTCAAAGAACTATAGCAAGTAAGATGTTCAGTTTAAAGTATCTGAACTGTGGCTTTAAAGGGAAGTCAGTCAACAACGTGGACATCATTCATTAGTGTTAATGTCCTTGTGGAAGGTTTTGTATTTGTAAATGATTTTCATCACTTTTAGATCCTATTGTAAGATTTTTGTTGAGATTAAACTTGTTTTAGTTTGTATTAATTCACCCTTTCCCTTAATTATGGTTAAAAATGATCAAACCATAAGTCTGGAGGTAAATTTTATTATTTAAGCAACAGTAAAGCAGCTTAAAATGATTTACAATTATGAATAATCAAGTCATAGCCTGACAGATTCGATTTTCAGCAAAGCATAATTTTATTTTGATAAACCTAGCATATTTTGAACATGACTTATTTGTCCTGGGTGAAACGAGGCTGTGTTGCAGTCGGGTGGAAGATGAACCGCAGCACGGGACAGTAAAGGGGGGCACTAAGACCCAGTGGAGGGTAAAAGAGAAGCTGGTTAGTTGAACGGAGCGTGGCTGCAAGCCAACATTGGACAGGACAGCCAAGGAGAGGGATATCAGATTACACTGCATGCACATGCCTGGAGAGATGGGAACTGATAGACTCTGCTGCACACAAGCATTTGCTATAGTCAGGTCCTATCCAACCTGCAGTGTCTTCATCCACCCAACATTCAGGATTAGAAAATATATGTTGGTAATCTGAACCATGGGCCATCATTTTCACCAACCTGCCACGCCATGTTGGAACCAGTTTGAGGAATGGCACTGTTGATACTGAGTGTGAGCTGGAATGAATAAAATATGGAAAAATCTATAGCTCCTTCAAGCTTGGAGAGACCCGTTGGACATTACCCTCATTGCATTTAATTTACCCCCTCAGAGATTTCCTTATGCACATAATTTATTACCAGGCTGTATAATTGCATTCAGTGTTGTTGCACAGAATGCATCATGGGGATTTTAATTCAGTCATCGTTACTGATGTTTTTATTACATTTGGAGAACAAAACCCTTGTGATGTTAAAGTGTAAAACCACTGCATGGATGGTTGTTGTTGCAGATATGGGAAAATTGTGTCCACCAAGGCCATCTTGGACAAGACAACCAACAAATGCAAAGGTGAGATTTGAACCACAAAACTGTGTTTGTTGACTAGTGCCACCGTTTCTTTTAAGATCGCATATGTTAAAACTTGTGCTGTAGTCATTGAAATTATGAATGCAAAGCTAAAGACACTAAATAGTACCTGGCTTTAAAGGTGTGGAACACTGAAAAAAAAATTTTAATGACTAATTCTGACTATAATCAGTCACTGTGAGTTTTTCATCCAGTCTGAAAATGAAAATAGTCTCCTACACCTATCTCCTGCATTAGCTTCTGATAGAAAATGGACAGTGAAAATCTAGAATTAGAAAATCCTGACAGATCTATGTCACACTGTCACTGAACATTCATGAACTCACCCATCTTGACTCACGACGGGGAAGGCTGTTGTTGTTGTTTTAACATCCGGAAATCAGCAGAGAATGTCTCGGCTAGTTTAAGATAACCGTTTGCATTAGCAACGTCCCCACGTGGCAGGAACTCCACCAGGCTTGTGTTATTTGTGGAGATGAAACATCCAGGTTACAAGTCAGTGGTAGAGATTGCGTTGCTGTTATCCAATCCGAGGCGAGATGTGCAAATATCAGGAAATAAGACTCCAAATCCTGCTACAGCAGACTTGTCTGTGGTAATCAAGGCGCTTTTGGGCATTTTTTGCCCTGAGTACTGCCTGCAAGGAATTATTTCCTACCAGAGTCCGCTGCAAATGTATTGATTAAACAAGTTTCCCACACATTTAAAGATTAATATGTATAATGTCAGATTGAAAAAGGGAAACATTATAAATTTGCCTCTGGAAGGGATGAATCCAATCCCTAAAGCTCATCTTGCAGGTCGTGGATCTGCAGTATTAATACACTAATTGATTATGAATTGATTCAGATTGTACTGCTTCATAAGTTGAAGTGATGAACACGTTAATAAAGTTTCAAAGTTACCATGTGTTCATCTCATGATACAATTTTTACATCTGCAGGCTACGGTTTTGTGGACTTTGACAGTCCGGGTGCAGCTCAGAAAGCTGTCACAGCACTGAAGGCTGGAGGAGTCCAGGCTCAGATGGCCAAGGTAAGCGAGTTTATTTAGAACATCCTAATCATCATTAGAATAAAACTTCAGCCTAAAAAAATGGTCAAACCATCTAAATGTTCTTTTATATAAAAGGAGAGCCCTACTATTCCCTCTGTGTGAGAAGAAAAACAAGATAAAACTGATAAATGTATCATGTAAAATAAAATGATAACAGAGGTAACAGAGGTAGACACTACAAGTCAAAGGTCAGGCCTTTCAAGCCAAAAGAAAATCATTCGATTTTGGTCTCCTGTCAAGTAACTGGTTCAAATGATCTTGGCGCGACTACTTCCTCAGATTAAAATGATTAAATGTGTCTGGTTTTGCATTAAGGAACATAAAAATGAAAAGAGAAGATAAACAAAAGATCAGAAATAAGATCTGCTGTTTTGTTCGTGTGAGTTTGCTACGTGGTGCAAGCCTAAATCGGTGTCTTCGTCTGTATCGATGCACTGAAGAATATGTGTTTGCAAAAACAAGTGCTCACGGATGCACATGGGTGCACGGTGTGCTCTTAGTGGCGACAGTGTTTGGGGAGCATGCACCAGCGGCTGCTCTCTGGGAGCTCGTATAAAGAAACTGTCTGTTCTCCCTCGTGGCATCTGACTCAGTGTCTGAGCAGTTCCCCAGTCAGCAGGGCGCAGTGCCCAACCATCCACCCTGTCAACACACACACACACACACACACACACACACACACACACGCCACTAACTCCCTAGGAAATCTCATCTTACATTAAGCTGCATCACTGACATTATCCTGCCTCTTGCTAACGAAACAGCTCGATTTCACTCAGTCGTCCTTCTGGAGTTCACAAGAAGACTCGTGTCTTCGTCAGAGTCCTCACTGACTCACTCTGACTCACTCACCACTAAAACGAGCAGCAGGTTTTCTCCAGTTTGCACGGAGAAGAGAAAGGGAGGTGAAGGAGAAATCACCTTCATTGCAGGTCGCAGCCATTACACATGCATTATTCATGGCATTGAAATCAACTCACTCTGCATTTTGCAGGTTCTTAATCACGTCTCGGATGATAAATATGCATTATTGGCTTGAGGGGATACAGATTGGTTATCTTACAAGATAGCGTGGGTCAAATTGATTTTGTTCGAGCAGAGAATGGGTGTTAAAATGAGACCACAAGATAATTAAAAACATGCTTTTTTTTACTGTTATTACTTAGTTTTCTCATGATTTCTTAACCAGATCTAGAAGAGACTCACTATTGTTTGATTTGTTAAGAAAAAAGTGTTTGATTATCTTTATGACCTAAGAAACTGGATGACAATGTCGGCTTTGTGGAGGGAAGCTGGCGAATGCTTGGGTTTTTAAAAAATGCTAGCAACTAACAAACTTCATCCTTTTGGGTCGCAATCTCACACAAGCAAAAAAATAAATGATCCCACTGATATTTACCATTTTTTATTTAACATCTATCTCGTTTTAACCTCCTTTTCTCTCAGGAAATAACATTTCACACGTTGTTTATTTTAATGTTTGTTTGTGAGCAGCAGCAGGAGCAAGACCCCACCAACTTATACATCTCCAACCTGCCTCTGTCCATGGATGAGCAGGAGCTCGAGAGCATGCTGAAGCCTTTCAGTCAGGCCATTTCCACTCGCATCCTCCGCGATGCCAACGGGACCAGCCGAGGCGTGGGCTTTGCCAGGTAGAAGTGAGGCTTTGTGGGTCATTTTGGCAGCTGGTTACAGTTAACATGAGTTCTGAAGTGCACATGAACTATTATGGCAGCATTAATCCAGACAAGTGAGCCCTCTGGTGGCAAATGCAGCTAGAAGGAAATCTATGAATGAAACTTTTTTTTTTTTACTACAGGATGGAGTCAACAGAGAAATGTGAGGCCATCATCCAACATTTTAATGGAAAATATATCAAAACTCCTCCTGGAGTACCAGGTGAGATCATTTTCATTATTTTAACCGAATGATCTGGAACAATGTGTTGTTCTACCTTTCTAAAGCTGTAGATGACTTTTCATTGCTGTCTCAGTTCCATCAGAACCTTTGCTGTGTAAATTTGCTGATGGAGGCCAGAAGAAGCGTCAGAGCCAAGGGAAGTACCTGCATAACGGACGGCCCTGGACACGAGACGGAGAGTCTGTACGTTTATTTTAATTTTATTTTTTTCTTTGTTGTCTTTGTCCTCATGTTGACATTCTTGTCTGCTTGATGCAGGGAGGAATCACGCTGACCTATGACCCCACCACAGCCTTACAGAATGGGTCAGTCCTCCATCTCCAACTGATCTCCTGTACAGTCAGAGGTTCTAGGGTTGCAGCGTGGTCTCTGATTACTTTGTGTCTCCGTCTGCAGGTTCTACTCCTCTCCTTATAGCCTTGCTCCAAATCGAATGATCGGGCCAGCCTCCCTCTCGCCATACATGGCTTCACCTGTGTCCACCTATCAGGTAAAAATATGAAGGAAGAGACAATAGAAGGTCTTTTATCTAGAAAATAATAGAATAGACTTTATTATTCCCACAGTGGGGAAATTCACTTGCTACAGCAGCACAAACACTTTGAGATAATAAAAGCTTGCAGGTAAACACTCAAAGGCAGTAATATATTATTGTAACCTTCAACCACTAAAAACAAAAAATAAATAGAAAACTTGTGTTTCCAGAACTAAGCAGCATAAGGGACACAGACGTACCAATTTACATCCAGAATTGCATGAGTATTGCACACATACTGAATATTGCGTTGGTGTTACTGTGTAACAGGATAATGCCAGTACCAGTTAAACTGAGGAGTTATATACTCTTACTGCAGAGGGGATGAATGACCTACAGCTTGTTATCAGAAACTTTAAAGCATCAGGCGTGTAATGGGACAGTTTCTCAGACTACACCCCTTCTTCTGTGTGGGGTGCAGTTTAAGATGACTTTTTTGGGCTTTTGTGGTTTCTGATATTGTGATCCAAAACAGATCTGAGGCCGAATTATTGTTTTGGTCCCCACACTTTCCTTAGGTGGTTAACAAAATTGCACTTCTTTTGGACTAGATGACTTTTCATTGTGGAACCAAAACTATTTATGCTTTTTTACACTCAATCCTGCCACCTTCACTCGTCTCTAAATAAAATGTACAATGGACAAATACACTATGGGGATGTTTCTTCACTAAATGTTGCAGGATGGTTGATTAAAATTCACATCTGACCAAATTTTATTGCTACTCTAACAGCTCATACATTAGGTGCCTCTGTGAGATGAGTGTTTTCTGAGGATCGGTGTAAAGCCAGACCTATTCTGCAGCTCAGAAATAGCCTAATCCTTGGGATTCCTGCGCAATTTTTTTAGATAGCATTTAGAACAAGCCTGGCATTCCTATATATTACAGTAACAGCTTTAATGCATTTTAGAGAACCTTCAAACTTTTGTAGATATATGAACGTGTTCATATTTATATAACGTGATGTCTTTTCTTGTTTCTGTAGTTACACAATCCATCCTGGATACATCAGTCATACATAATGCCACCCACAGTGAGTATCCTTAGTCCGAATGCTCCTTCAACATTCTCTTCATTTGGTCCAGTTAATTCTTTCTGACTGTGTCATTGTGTTGATGGTCCCCATTAACAGCAGTGAGTGTTTTCCACAGGGACCAGTACTCGCATCAGGAATGGAGCACACCATGTCCATCCAGCCAACTTCGATGATCGGGCCTCTGACGCAGCAACTCAGTCACCTTTCTATGGGCAGCAGTGGTACAGTAAGTAATGTGTAGGATTGTACTTTCAAAATGCTGAGCTTTGGCTCACATTTATCATCTAAAGCTGCAGACTTGTTTCTCCAATTGGAGGCAACAATAAGGAAACTCCGAAATGTATGGCTGCACAGTCTGGATTTTATGTTTGCAGGTTTATTTATATATATACAATTTACCAATGTGCCTTGTAAATGGATATTTACACCATATCAATATTGCAAAGACTTCCATTGAATCACAGACTTAAACTGCATGCATTCATTTTTTTGTTGAGTACCAGTTCAGAACTACGGTCAAGAAGTAGATAATCTGATACTAAAATTAACTTGTTCATAATGAAACCAGCAGTACAGTATGATAGATGACAGCAGAAAGAAAACTCCCTCCAACAGAACAACAACCAGGCTCAGTATGGGCAGTGTTGTATATAGTGATGTAAGAAAATATCATTATGGAAATATATCACAATATTTTTTCCTGCAATATTATATTGATATTCAAAAGCAGTGTTTTTGGAAGAATTTCCATGCAAACATTTGTGTATTTTTTTTTTACTTTTGGTGCAATTCAAATGCTGACCGCTAGTTGGCAGCAGTGTGCAATGGGTTTGTTTCCACCATTGAACTGTAAATCCTTCTATTATGGTTCAGATACCACAATATTAAACATGCTGCATATCAATTTGGATTGTTTATTGAATTTTCCTACAATATTTTCAGTCTTAAAAAAATTGCTAAAATTGTCTGGCTGAATGCATCGTGTTTATCGTGATACATTGTATTGTATCGTCTCCCCTGAATCATGATACGTATCGTATCGCCAGAATTTCACTATTACACATCCCTAGTGTTGTACCTCAACCTGCTGAGTTCAGCAGTTAAATGTGTCATAGACGATCCATCACATGGTTATTTACATGGAATTCTCTGGGTATTTACAACAACAAAAATTTCAGCAGCAGAAAAATACACCACTTGAATGCATGTAGGGGTCAAAGCCTGGCAGTAGTTGTGTAGTACTTCAGCTAAAGTAATAACTGATTGTAAAAGTGACTGCAGTGCAATGGTTTATAAAGTAACATTTGGCATGATATACATATATAAAATAATATTAAAATGTTTCTAATTGATTATTTTCTTGTGAAAAAGGGAAACCATTAAAGGGAGACTAAGCTGTCTTTGCTTGCTTTTAGCACCCCCTAGTGTCTGTTTAGTAAAACCAAAAGTGAAACTTATCTCCTCGCTGTGCTTTCGTCTTTTTAACACCTTAATCTAACAGCTGAAATGTCTCCTCAGCTTTCATTAGTTTCTACAAGAGCGGTTCATCACTAAATTAAACAAATCAGTTGTGTTAACAATCTAAAGCATGCAGGATAAGTTCTGGAAACAGACTCCAGCGCTGGTATGTCAGCGCCACTTAACTAAAGCCACTTAACATCCGACAGGGACCAACGCGGTAACTCTGAAGTTGCAAGTGCGATATACTGGCGTGGTGGGGGTTCTGAGTGACATTTCAATAACCCTGTAAAGGGTCATTTTAGCTCATACTGCCTCAAGAAAATGATTTAAAATATGAAAATGTATTGTCTTGAATCTTTTACCATGAGATGAGATCTTGCTGCTTTTTGTAGATTAGGCCAACTTAATCCCCTTTTATACTTAATTCTGCTTAACTATGTCACTTGTAACATGGCCATCATGTTTAATTCCCTCAACATTTTGTATTCCTCTAGTATTTGCCTGCAAACACATCTATGCAGGGGACCTACATGCCCCCGTACACCCAAGTGCCTGCCACCAACATCTCAGTCGAGGTATGTTTACTCTTAAAGTTACGACTAATATTGGGTTTTGCAAATCCCTGATGTTTAATTTTTCTTACAGGAAAGTGCCGTCCAACAGCCTGTTGCCATAGAAACACCCACAGAACATGCAACCTACTCCTACCAGCATAACAAGTGAAGAGGTTGGTGTGGTCCGTGTTTTCTGTGTGATCCCGTTCCATAAACATGATTCTGTTGTTTGTCATCAGTTGGTGTCTGTGGCAGATCTTCCTTCGGAGCCTGGAGCTGCCGTCACAAGGCCCAAGTGCTGAATCTCGCAGCATGGCGACTCTGTAGCGTCGGACATCCTGTGGGGGAGAACATGAACTGTTCCACGTTCAAAAGGGACATTAAAACAAGATATTTTCTATGAACTCATATTTGAAAGCAAGCAAGCGAAGCTGGACGACGGTGTGAGGACAAGAACAGAAATGAACATAAAAGTCAGAAAGTCACACACACACAAACACACTACATGCTAAATTCTTCTCCAGTGAGCTAGAAGGAACCAGGAAAATAATATTTCCACATTTTTTATTATTATTTTCTGAGTCCTGTTTTGTTTCGATCTTTTGTAAAATATGCAGGTTTTCATCTGATCTTTTTTTTTCTGTTTTGTACATATTTTCTCGTGTCCTAGTTTTATTGCTCATTGCAAAAAAATTAACTGAAGTACTTCAAAGAACTTATTATAGACAGGTATGACTTGACACAGTTTTCTCTTGAAGTGTTGGCAAGTTTATCAGGTATAAAACTTTGCCTCAGGCCGTCTGACTTCCTTCTTACTTTGGGGCACTTGACTCTCGGATGATTTATTGTTTAAATATTTTCTGCAAAGCTTCTGACAATCACACGACAAATTTATCAGTGAGGATGTTTTTATGAAGTAGATTTAAAGCATTCCAGTTACAGTGGCATGCAAAACATTTGCCAAAATGTTTTTGCGAGATAAAGATGACCTAAATTCCAAATGTCATGTACTCAAAATTAAATGTCTTCAATGTTTTAAGCAGGTTTACAGCTTATTTCAGATTTTACTCTTCAAAATAAAAGAGATGAGGGTCATCTTTTTTGTGAGTTTCTTACACATTCCTTCTCTGAAGAACTGAAGATTGAGCAAGGGTTTTTATTTATTTTGAAATTCACATAAGAGGATGGAAACATCTCACCATTGGCTTTTTCATGCACAGTTACAAAGGATGCGTGATCTAACCGAAACCCATTCTTTTTTCCACCAATGTTTGTAATAAAAAGCCCAAATTGATGAAATCCCTCTTCATGTCTTTGAAATTCACTATTTGTGACAAATTAGAAATTTTCTGCATCCTATACAACTTGTTTCCTAAATGCACGAAACATTTTATAGATGCTACTTTGCAGTTTTGTAAAATTTTTGAGAATTTACTTTTAGGTTTATGTTTGATGCAAATGCAAAAATGTTATTGGAGCCCTCAGATCTTATTTTTTAGATGTAAAAAGTATTTTCTAAAATCAAAGCAACGATCTAAACTTGCGTAAATCGACGAGGACCTTAAAATTGAATCCTTTTGCTTGTTAATCTCTGAAGTACAAAGACCCAATTTTGCATGCCACTGCATTATTGTAAAAACTAGAAAATGTATTATTTTATTTCACTTTGAGCTGTTTGGAACAATTCAATCCAAAGTTTCTCAACAGGGATCAAAACACCCAGAGCTGCCTGTAAGTCAGAGAAACTTTTATTTTTTGGTTTGCTTTCTAACTGATGAAGTCACATCATACATGATGAAAGGATTTGCAGCATGTTTTGTATTTTTTATGGTAATTTCTGAATTTCTCATCAATTCTTGTAAAACCATATTTTATGAACTAAGCAGATGTTCCTTCAAGAGCAAGGCTCCATCCAGTTTTGTCTTCACCAGTATGAAAAAACACTATTTTGGCTGGATTCTGTATAAAGATGCTTTTATACTGGCTGTTGCTGTATGTCTGCATCTTTTGAATTGTTGGTTTCAATCACCATTGTTTGAGACATTTTGTTATTTAAAGTATTTTTTTTTCTTGATGGATCGTATTTAAAAAAAAAAAGCATCAATTTTTATTTTTGATAGGGTGTTGCGTCCTGCAGATGGTAGAGTCGTCTTAACTAGTGGTGACATTTTATGTTTGTTCTGGTTTATTGTTGAAGTCAAAGCAGTTTTAATGTTTTAACATACATTTTTACAAAGCTTGTGTCATGATTGTTGGCACTTTTTTCTTTGCATGACTCCAGATCATAATGATATTTATGTTTGTTAGTGTTAGTTTCAGATAAGCTGTTACAGTCAAACCCAAAGCAGATGGGATCAGTGACAGTGAAATAATTGTGCTCAAAACCTCAACTTACCTCATTTTGCAACTCAAGACTGTGTACAAGGTTAACAGGAAGCGACCAAATGCAGTCGGTCTTAGACTGCTCACAGCTGGTTCTGTGTCCACATCCTTTAACTCATCCATTCAATGTTTGGAAGCTACGCCCGAGATCAGTCATCTATGCAATAATTGCCATCCATATAAATGCAATAAGAAAAACATCCAAAAGACACATCACCGCCACACAATGTGGCTTCAAATTTCATGGCTTTTATCTTTTACTAGAATTTTTTGTTTGAATTGGTTCATTATTTGTGAACAAATTAGTACAAAAAGGGAGTTATGAAGTCAATGACCCACAAGCTATTTGTTTTTGTGTGTTTGAAAGGTTTTATTTAAAAACAACATATTTGTGCTTAAAACGTGACTCCACTCCCTGCTATTTCATCTTCTCCAGCATCCATCCCTTTGAAATGACTCACACAGAAATGCCTTAGACTTCACTGGAAGGGATTGTGAAACGCTACTCAGTTTTCTGGGCTTCTTATCTGACTGGAATTGTTTTCATGCACTGCAAATGTTAAAAAGTGTTTTCTTAAACTACTCAGAACACAAATATAGAAACTGACATGTCTGAACATCGTTTTCAGTCCTGAACATTGATGTAAAGTCAGCTTGAACTGAAGTACCCACTGCTGCTGCTAATTTTGGATTGCTATCACTTATAGCTGAAGGCCATTCAAAGTTTCATATGTGAGGACAACGTGTAAGTCTTGTTTTCCGCATCGGTTTCTCCCCAGTAATACTTGTACCACCATGCTGGATTATGCTTTCCTTGGAAGAGGGAAAACATGCAAATTCCTTCCAAATGAAAACTTCTCTCTTGGTTTGATTTTTTAAATAAATGTTTTTCCACTGTAGTTTGTGTTTTTTAAGTGATTTTTTATTAAATAATGCTATACTTCAGTTTGACTGGAGATGCACAAAACACTCATTAGCTCTGAAACGTGAAATCTCCCCATCTCTGAATCCACCTTTGCCCAACTACAATAAAATAAAAACAAATTCTGATTTGTGAAATCACCTTTGTGCTAAATAGCATTAGCAATGACCTATCACTCGACCTATTTTTGTTTATTTGGGCAGTTTTCCCCTTTTTGTTTGGAAGCCCTTTTAGCAGTATTTGTGCATATGGTATGAAATTTTGTTGCAAAACCTGTCTCTTGACAAATTTTGAAATTCAATTTGGAATTTTGAAAAACGACCAAGGGAACATTATGGAAAAGAAAAAAAACACTACCCTCTTGTGACCTTTGAGGACAAAAGCATCCACTCCTAAAAGTGGCTATGAAAAAATGTATGCATTCATATTTGTTGTGCTTTTTTTCATAAATCTGTTAAACAACTGCAGTCCTGCTTGAACCTATATGGACTTTAATCGTTTTGAGGATTTTAACCCTTCAAAATCCAGTTTGATTACTCAATGCCATTGCAGCAATTTATAACACACACACACACACACACACACACACACACACAAAAAGTTATTTTCCAAACACCTTTTCTGCCTTGGGTATTTATTACAAATCAGTCTTGGTCATGTTATGAAATATCTAAAAAAAAATAACATTTTTTGCATCAATAGTTTTTGTGAAGCAAAAGATTTAAAAGTTACCATCCTCTCATGACCATCATGGACAAAAACGTCCCATTGACTTCCTTTCAGACCACAGTTCTTGATCCTGTAACATCTGCAAAAATACAATCATGCATTCTGTGATATTGGGGATTTATTTTGAAGAAAAGTAGCCAAACTTGTGATTTTTACTGTTCACCACCAAATTCAGTCATTTCTCCATTTGTGGCCCAGGTGAGAAACTCCACACATTTCTTTAGATCTTCTGCTGTTTGTGTTGAAGTCAAAAGGTCAACCTGACCTCTGATGGGTAAATAAGTTTGACTCTCTTACAGAACTACAAAGTGTAGAAAACAAAAACAATTAGTATGTTTATGCACTTGGTACCAGGGCAGCCTAGGTCACAGGTCGATGATAGATTTTGTAGTCGTATCATCTGACCTGCGGCCGTATATTTTGGACACCCGAGTGAAGAGAGGGGCGGAGCTGTCAACTGATCACCACCTGGTGGTGAGTTGGATCAGATGGCAAGGGAACATGCCGCGTAGACCTGGCAGACCCAAACGCATAGTGAGGGTCTGCTGGGAACGCCTGGCAGAAGAACCTGTCAAGACGGTCTTCAACTCCCACCTCCGGCAGAGCTTTGACCACGTCCCGAGAGCAGTGGGGGACATTGAGTCCGAGTGGGCCTTGTTCCACTCTGCGATTGTCGAGGCGGCTGTTGCTAGCTGTGGTCGTAAGGTGGCCGGTGCCAGTCGTGGTGGCAACCCCCGTACCCGCTGGTGGACACCAGAGGTTCGGGGAGCCGTCAGGCTGAAGAAGGAGGCCTACAGGGCGTGGCTGGTCTGTGGGTCTCCGGAGGCAGCAGACAGGTACCGGATAGCCAAGCGGGGTGCAGCAGTGGCAGTTGCCGAGGCAAAATCTCGGGCGTGGGAGGAGTTTGGTGAGGCCATGGAGAAAGACTATCGATCGGCTCCAAAGAGGTTCTGGCAAACTGTCCGGCGCCTCAGGAGAGGAAGGCAGCAACTGGCTCACACTGTTTACAGTGGGGATGGGGAGCAGCTGACGTCAACTGAGGCTATAGTCGGACGGTGGAAGGAATACTTTGAGGAGCTCCTCAATCCCACCAATGCGCATTCCGAGGAGGAACCAGAGCTGGGAGGCCTGGGGATGGACTGTCCGATCTCGGGGGCAGAAGTTGCTGAGGTAGTCAAACAACTACACAGCGGCGGAGCCCCGGGGGCGGATGAGGTTCGTCCTGGGTATCTCAAGGCTATGGATGTTGTAGGGCTGTCATGGTTGACACGTCTCTACAACATTGCGTGGTCATCGGGGGCAGTTCCTAGGGAGTGGCAGACCGGGGTGGTGGTCCCCATCTTTAAGAAGGGTGACCTGAGGGTGTGTTCCAACTATAGGGGGATCACACTCCTCAGCCTCCCTGGAAAGGTCTACGCCAAGGTACTGGAGAGGAGGGTCCGATCGATAGTTGAATCTCAGATAGAGGAGGAGCAATGTGGTTTTCGTCCTGGCCGTGGAACTGTGGACCAGCTCTATACCCTTGCAAGGGTGATGGAGGGGGCATGGGAGTTTGCCCAACCAATCCACATGTGCTTTGTGGATTTGGAGAAGGCTTATGACCGTGTCCCCAGGGGCACCCTGTGGGGGACGCTCCAGGAGTATGGGGTGGGTGGCTTTCTGTTAAGGGCCATTCAGTCCCTTTACCAGAGGAGCGTGAGTTTGGTCCGCATAGCCGGTAGTAAGTCGGACCTGTTCCCAGTGAGGGTTGGACTCCGCCAGGGCTGCCCTTTGTCACCGGTTCTGTTCATCACTTTTATGGACAGAATTTCTAGACGCAGCCGTGGTGTGGAGTGTGTCGAGTTTGGTGGCAGGAGAATCTCGTCTCTGCTTTTTGCGGATGATGTGGTCCTCCTAGCTTCATCCAGCTCTGACCTTCAGCTCTTGCTGGGTAGGTTCGCGGCCGAATGTGAAGCGGCTGGGATGAGGATCAGCACCTCCAAATCTGAGACCATGGTTCTCGACCGGAAAAGGGTGGCTTGCCACCTCCGGGTCGGGGGAGAGGTCCTACCTCAAGTGGAGGAGTTTAAGTATCTCGGGGTCTTGTTCACGAGTGAGGGTAGGAGGGATCGGGAGATCGACAGGCGGATTGGTTCGGCGTCTGCAGTGATGCGGACGCTGAGCCGATCTGTCGTGGGGAAGAGGGAGCTGAGCCAGAAAGCCAGGCTCTCGATTTACCGGTCGATCTACGTCCCAATCCTCACCTATGGTCATGAGCTTTGGGTAATGACCGAAAGAACGAGATCGCGGATACAAGCGGCCGAAATGAGTTTCCTCCGTAGGGTGGCCGGGCTCAGCCTTAGAGATAGGGTGAGGAGCTCGGACATTCGGGAGGGACTCGGAGTAGAACCGCTGCTCCTCCGGATCGAAAGGAGCCAGTTGAGGTGGTTTGGGCATCTGGTCAGGATGCCTCCTGGACGCCTCCCCGGGGAGGTGTTTCGGGCATGTCCTGCCGGCAGAAGGCCCCCGGGTCGACCCAGGACACGTTGGAGAGGTTACATCTCCAATCTGGTCCGGGAACGCCTTGGGGTCCTGCCGGAGGAGCTGGTGGACAAGGCCGGGGAGAGGACGGCCTGGAGCTCCCTAATTGGGATGCTGCCCCCGCGACCCGGACCCGGATAAGCGGAGGAAGACGAAGACGACGAAGATGTTTATGCACCTGGCTGGAGGCAAATAGATTTTTTGGAAAATAACTTTTTTTTAATTACAGAAGACATTGAGTAATCAAACTGGACTTTGAAGGGTTAAAATCCTCAAAATGATTAAAATATAAAGGTTTCAGCAGGACTGAAGTTGTTGACCAGATCTATGACTGTATACATGTTTTATAGCCACTTTTATGAGCGGACATTTTTGTCCTCTAAGGTCACAAGAGGAAGTGATGCCTGAGGGTTAATTAGGGGTATTTCTCATAGTTGAGATGAATCAGAATTAAACTTGGAATTCGACCTTCCAAGCCAGAATTGAAAGCCAAGAAATCTACACCAACCGTTGCAGTAGCAAAGATTTTTCTCTGCTTTTACAGGATGGCTTGCCAGAATACAGAATTGATGAACGAAGACACAAACGTCACAAAACTGGATAATTTATTTCTTTAAACAACTTGTCTAAATAGCAAATACATTAAAAAATGTTTTTACACAGTTGACTGTATATGTTTTAAGTATGTACAAAATTCAAAATATACTGAATATGCCACAAAAGTTGCTGTAGAACCAAAAGACGCTCAAGTACATGAAAATAGACTTTAATTTAAAATCTTATCAAGAAAAACAAATAACTGGCAAAAGTTTTCTCACCCTGCTGTGTAACATTGTAACCGATCAGTTACATTAGAATCAGAAAGACGTTACTTTCATTATAAATCATACTCTGAGGGAATGTCATGTTTTTAAAAGAAATATTTTAAACAACAATCTGCAGCAGTGAGTAAAAAGATCAAAAACCTAACAGACTATTTTTTACTCATCTGGAATAACCAATAATAGTTGGTCGTTGGTAGCCCTTTTGCATGACAAGAACAAAACATGTCATGCTCGGATACAGAAACCGAATTTAGCCTATATGCTCTGCAGGTGTTCAGTGGGAGTCCTTGTTCCCGAGGCAAAGTTATATATATTTTTTTTTTTTGCACCAAACAAAGAACATTGTTGGCTTCTTGGATTTAAGAAACAAAGGTAAGACCTCAGAGTATGATTTGTTGGTCAAATTCAGCTGTGGCAGGGTAACAGAAAACGCAGTGTTTCAGCTGCTATGCTGATGCTCTACTGATGCACCAAAACGTGACGGAGCTGCAGGAAAGGTCCGGGAGGCAGTGACTTGTGCTCCAGCAACATCCCATCAGCAAATCTCCGCTGGGGGCTTGAATGACCGTTGAGAATAGAAACAGAGCTGGTGTGCAAGTCTTTGTGGGAAAAAATAGATCCTCCTGAGGAATGTCGCTCAAAGTTAAGTCATGCAGGGCGACTGTAAGACGTCTCGATCACAATAGTGACATCACAAGAGGTTGTGGTTCACAATCTCCCAAACCATCCTTCTTCTGAAGTAGGGCATGTGTTTCTGTCGGTCGGAACAGAAGAGGTCATCCATTTACAGGACACTATTATTTACCGGCCAACACTGGATTATTTATTAGTGATTACCTGTGTGAACGTGATTGGCTTGTCTTTGGTTATGTAATCTGCATATTTGCATGTGAACATTCCACAGTCGCTTCCATTCATCTGCTGAGGGATTTCCTACAAGCAAATTAGGAAGACTGATTCAAATTAAATGGTAAATGACCTGTTTTAGTACAGCACTCTCCTAGGGTCCTACAACCCCCCCAAGGCGCTTCGCATCATCCACCCACTCACACACGGGTGAGGATGAGCTACAATGTAGCTACTGCTGCCCTGAGGCACACTGACAGAGGCGAGGCTGCAGAGCACAGGAGCCACCGATCCCTCCGACCGCCACCAGCAAGCAAGGTGGGTTAAGTGTCTTGCCCAAGGACACAACAGAAGCATTCTCTGGTGGAAGCAGAGATCAAAACTGCAACCTTTTGATTACTGGTCTACCCGCTCTACCTCGTGAGCTACTGCTGTCCCTTGTTTAAAATGTGTACAGTTAAATGTGCGATTGAACGTACGTATAGTTTTAATATTTTCTACAGAAGTAGTCAGCTTTGGTATGCAATAGATTAAACACAACATTTATTCAACAAGTCCGAATCAATAACAACCTTTCACGTGACACTTGAGAGCCTTCTGCGAGTCAAACTTACGCTGCGCTTTTTGCTGTGCAGAGTCCAGCCTGAGGTATCCATTTCTTTGCCTTTTTTGTCCTTACTTTCCTGCTGTAGGTAGTCACTGTAAATAACGTTTAAAAATAATTATTTGTGTCGTTTCTGGTGAACAGATCAACATTACGTGACAAGACTTACAACAATATTTGGCATGCTTCATCATTGCTTCCTCCCATAGAATCAAAGTACATGATGGACTTTTTACGGAAATCCACCACCTGAGTACAGAAACAAAACAACAGAATGAAATAAACCTCAAGAATAAGTTCCAGTTTCTGAATTACAGTCATGTGACTTACACAGAGGCACCAGTGTACCCCCAAATGAACAGGAACCAATAAGATGTCTTTAGAAAAGATGTCCATCTTTTTGGTCCAGCGGCGCACAGCAGAGTAGCCGCTGCTGCGCAGCTTAGGGTAGAAAAAGGTGTTGAATGTGTTGGTTGATGGCAGGTCGGGCTCCTTGCTGCGCTCCACCAACAGGTTCATGTAAAAGTTGATCACCTGAGACATTAAAAGACTAGTGTGACTCAACCAGAAATGCATAAAGAAAAATCTGGTCATACTTAAAAAAAAAACAACAACAGACTTTTCCATTTTTCTGGCATTGAGCACAAATCCAAATGAATGTCCTTATAGTGAACAATTATGGCTCATAGTTCATACAGTTTTAATATTGGACGTTCTCACCTCATCGTTGAGCCAGTTGAGGCTGCTGAGCGTCTGCAGGTCTTTCCGTGTAAGGCTGAGACCAAATCCCTCACTTAGTATTTCATGAGGACTTCCCCCCTTCATCAGCGCCTTGTCCACCTCAGCTTCCATTTCCTTCAAACAAAAGGTACATGAAAATCATTAAAGATGGAAACACTGTTTAAAGCTAAATCCTGGTGCAGCTACAACAGTAAAAGCCTGAGAGGTGGAAACACAAGCAGAAGCACTCTGGTCATCAACAGATGTTCTACCAGACTTCATCTAGCGCTGTAACCACTTAAGACAACAGGAAGCAAGTTTAGTATCAGCTTTTCCACCATGACCCCACCTCTGTGAGTTCAGGAAATTCTGGTTTCTCCTCCAAAGCCTCCTGCTCCTCTATCACAAGAGGCAAAGGAACCTCATCCACCAACGGAACTCGAACGAGGACCTCGACATCTGGGCTTTGTTGTTCCTGGTCGGATAAACGCTGCGGACCAAGAATGACAAAAAGCTAGAACAGCTATGAGAAAAAACTACAAATATGGCCTCTGTGGTAGGAGAACAAACCTGTCGAAGCAACTGGGCGGCCAGAGCTTCCTGCTCCTCTATATGTCGTCTTCTTTCTCTCGCTCGAGAGTCATAAATGTTCGTACTGGGCAAAAAGCAGATGCATGTTTTCTTCTTCCCCGTTCAAAGACACCAATGAGAAAATAATGCGCAGCTCGACTGAACTTACAATTCTTTTATCCATAACTCAGGTTGGAAACACGGCACTCTGTTCAACAGAAAACAGGGAGTTTGTCATAGAGATGCCTTTACTAACAGATGGAATTTCACAACGAATTTGAAATAAAATGATGTGTAAATGTGTAGATGTCAATGCTAATTAATGTATATCAATAATTTAATCAAACTACACCTAAAACTAGAATAAATTGGGATTTAAAAGGCAGATTAAACAACTTAGACAATTAAATACTTACCTTGAGCTGTCTTGCTTTTTGCCTTTTTTGTCACTGACAAGAATTACGGAGTCCCCATCATGAGCTACAAATAAAAAGATTACATTACAAACCTAATGAGATACACAAAATATGAATTATGTATTTATAAGTTCTTGTGCAGGTACCCTACCTGACGATTGGGTGTCCTGAGAGTTACTGTCTTGCAGAGTTGATGTGAGAGCAGCTTCTCTATTGGAGCTGAGGTCTGCGTCTTGAGACCACATCTGGTTCTCTGTCTTGCTGTAGGCTCTCACTGGACTGGGGTGGTTACTGGAGCACGGACTAGAAATCTCTCTAGGACTAGGGGTGCTACTAGGTTCCTCTGATGTTCTTCCTGCCACTGACCCAGCAGCAGAAGAGACCTGTAACGGTCTGTGGCTGGTGAGAAAGCTGCCGCTGATGAGACGGCAAAAAGAAAAGTCAATTACCGTAGAGAAACCGACAGCAACCAAAACGGAATCAGCTGCTTTTCCACTCGCCTATTTCAGTCACAAAAAATATGACTAAATGCATGTGCAGCCTGTGGACCTTTAGTTGTAAAATAAAATGGTTTTGCTAAAAACAAAAGATTTCTACCACCTGCTCATGCTGAAATTATAGCAGAAAAAAATATATCAATATCGCAAAAAGGCTTCTACAGCTGCAAACACTGTCCTTTTTTGAATCTCCCTGAATATTTCCACTAATTTGATTATAGCATTGATGTTGTATTTATTTGCATACTTACAAATCTCTGTTTGACCTCACAACGTTGTGTGAGCTGCCGTTGTCAAGGAAAGATGACTGACCACCTGACACCATAGCCAGAAGCTGCCTGTAGATCTCTTTCTCCTCCTCACAAACAGACTGATAAATAAAAAGAGAACACAGTGTTAAACAACTAAATCAAAAGGCAAACAGTTAGTAACGTTTCCAAACATCGTACCTCTTGTGCTGTGCAGTAGCGTCTGTTCTTCTGTGAGCGGTTTGACAAGGCGCTGTGTGTTGGACTCTGCACCATTTTACTGGCAAAGGTCTTCTCATACATGCTGGTGGAGTTACTTGTGCCCACACCACCTAACAAACTGCTGATAAAAAATGTTTTATTCAAAAATGACAGTTTTCTAACAATCCTAAAAAGCAACATGGGTTTTTTTGTACATAGTGAGAACCAACATGAAAATTACCTTGTTGTTCTGTGTGATCGGAGGTTGAAGGGCCTGCCTAAGCGTGGGGAGGGTTGCAGTTTGGGTATGATGGAGAGTGGCACATTGATTGAGTGTCCATTTGTTTTTGGCACCTCACGATGTGCAGGATTCATGAAAACTTGTTGCCTACAATCTTTTGACCTCATGATGAACTTCTCATTACGCAGCCACTCTGAGGTTGGAACAGAGGAGGGGAAAAATTAGAAAGGACCAAAACTTCTGAGTTTAAGGCCTTAACAATGTTAAAGGTGTGGTTTACTTGTTAAATCAACACATTTGCAGTGGTCTCTATCTAATAGGAATGAGTGCCTTGAAAGTCATTCTCGGGGGGGGGGGGGGGGGGGGGGGGGAATATGCCGGTGCACCATTTATTGGACCTAAAAGTAGTCCACATCACAGCTGAGCTTTAGACAGCAGGTTTTGGAGCCTTATTTCTTGATATTTGGGCATCTCTCCTCTGATTGGATAACAGCAATGAAACTCTACCATTGACTTGTAGCGTGGATGTTTTTTTGTCTTCATAAACAACATAAGCATGAAGGAGCTTCTGCCGTGTGGTGGTGTTGCTAACGGTTGGCTTAAACTAACCGAGACGTCCTCTGTTGATTCCCAGACATTAAAACAGCAACAACCTTTCCCGTCATGAGTCAAGATGGGCGAGTCCATGAATGCTAATTCACAATGTGATGTAGATATGTGAGGATTTTCAAATCCTAGATTCTCACTATCTATTTTTAGCAAATGCTAATGCAGGAGATAGATGTAGAAGACTACTTTCATTTTCAGTCTGCATGAAAAACTCCGGTTGACTGATTATAATATAAAAAATATATGTTTTTAAATTTTTTTTCATTCAACCACATCTTTAAACCAAAAATGTAAATACCTACATCTGACTGCCAGTAACCTGCAACTATATCACAGGCTGTGATATTGTGTGTAATGAAAGATAAACGTACCTGATTTGTTTGTTTTCCACTCTAAAGTTGTAGATGGAGCAGCAAATGTTTCATCCAGAGAAACAACCTTAGACCAAACACATCCCAGAAATGGTCAAATAAAACACACATTTGCATTTTTTTTCTTTGAAGTGACTGCCAACATATTTGCAAAAAGCAGCAACTCCTAAAACAATAATGTTCGCTTGAATAAAACCCATGATAAAAATGGGGACACAAACTAGAAATGATGAAGTCACTGTGGTGCAAATTTAAGTTTTTGATTATCTTGTCTAATTGATTTTATAAAAGTGAGGGAAATTAGTTCCAATATTTATATAAGCTTCTTGTGATCAGTTGAATTGATCAATAAACAAGACATTACACAAGAATTATGACAAAATGTGAAGGTATTTAGAAAGTTACCGCTGGTCTTCCTGTCCAGGCTGATGCTGCTGATGTTGAGGGCTGTGGCTCTCCAGATGAGGCAGGTGGAATATTTCTCAAAGTTGGGCTTACATTTTTTTTCATCCACGTAGCCACACCTGTGCTGTGATTTTTTAATCCTTCAGCTGCACTCTTGACACTATCAATGAGATCCCCTGGAATCACATCAACCAACACAAAAGTGTAAGAAGAGTGGCAGCCGAACACTACACGATGATGTGTGCGAATATTTAATTACCCATTCGTGATTTCTTAATGGCTAAATCATCCTGCACGATCATGTGGTCATCCTCCAAACTTTTAAAAACAAAGACATTGATAACATATTCCATTATGAGCGCACAGAAGAAAAAATAATCCACAAAACATGCTGTTTTGATGTAGGGCAGAAAGTCTTACAATTCAATGGGTCTTTTCCTTTTCACTTGAGCATCTCTCGGAGTAGAGCGCCCATGCGAGTGATCCACAGCTGGTTCATCGTTGCGAAGGATGGCAAAGTTCGTTTCAATCCATCCGTAGATTTTATTAAGCATGGCTCAAAAGTTTCAGAAACGATAACGCTGGTTTAAAGAGAAGCTATAGCTGCTATCGGTTTGTCAACAAAGTCAAGCAAAATACAGGCAATGTGTTTCATTCAACCGAGGTAGGCATGCTAAGGTTGTTTTTAAAGGCCAGCACTCACAGCATAAAGCACTCTCCCTTTTTTCTGTCCCAACGGCACAAAAAACGGTTCGCATGGAATTAGCTCGGTCTAGCTAGCATACTAACTAGCGTTGTTAGCTACACAGCTAATTTACTGAAGTATGTTTAAATTCGCACAGGAATGCAATAAGTCGCAACTTGTGCAGTCGGAAAACGTGGTGTCATTTTGAGCCACAACTGAAGACATCCATATATCCTTACAGTGTCTATAAATGTAAAATAAACTCATTGAAGACTAACATCTCCCGCTTCTTCCTCATTCAAAACCACATCATGGCTGAACCTGACGTCGCAGTATCGCGTGTTGTGATTGGATACCTTGATCACGATAGTGTCGTCGGAGGGCATTGGCTGGTTTCCGTGGCGGCCTGTTCCTGAGAAATGATGCGTAGTAAATCATTATCATGAGATGTTTTAATACATTTAAGCTTTATAATTTAGTCATTATTAGAAAATATTTCATCACACATTCGGCCAAAAGAAAACTACACGACTTGGCCAATGTTACCAACATCTTCAAATATTGTGTTTACATGTGTGTAACTGTCTAAGAGGCAAGGGCGTCAGTTTGTTTTCAGAATTGCTGGGGACAATAAAGTAGGTGTCGGCGGCTCTGTAGCCGCATGCGGCTCTTCCATCCATCTGATGCGGCTCTCTGTGCTTGTAAAATAATGAATGGATATTTAAATAAAAAGCTTTATATTTTACTGCATTAATTTTACATCTGTATGCCAATTCTAAATGTAAAGATTGTCTGCGTAAACCTGAACAGTTCCAACCCGGTCTGACTGTGAGACCGGGTTGACGCGTCACGCTTGTGCATAATCATAGGCGCTTCTGAGCTGAAGGATGTCAGATTCTGGGCTTCTCCTCAAACAGGTTCCTGGATGCGTCGCCACATTGGAGACAGGAACAAGCACTATTCAGCCAAAGTTTCATAATCAGGTGTGACAGTGTGAGTGTCCTGTCACAGTGTCCTGATAATGCGCCCTGGCTACTTGGCCAAGGAGAAGTCCCTTTGGCTGACTGGTTAGAGCGTATGACTCTCACACGGGAGTCTGGGGATCGAATCCCGCCCGGGCCCTCGTTTCTCCACCTTGCCACATATTGACGGATAAACTCAAGGATGTTGGTTGTTTTGAAAGAATTACCCCGACGCACACAGATGCGCATGGATGAGCTGACATTTTAATCGTTACGCACATCGCAGAGGTAACTTTATTCCCATCAGAACATCAGAGCTTCATACTGGACACTGTGTTCAGTGCGGCTCGGCGCGCCCACGGTGGACAGTGGGCTGAAGATCTGTAGAGGGATTCGCAGCGCAGTGCAGAACCACGGTGCATGCGATAAGATTTCCTCCCACTGAAGCGGTCTGGAAACCCGGTCTCTCTGAGGGATGTGTCACCTGGAAAAATGTTCTTTTTATGAAATTATGAAACTTTGGCTGAACAGCGCTTGTTCCCGTCTCTAATATGGAGATGCATGACGCATCCAGTCTGAGGCAGAATAGCCTCTTCAGCTCAGCAAGCACCTGTAGAGATATTTGATCACGCACAAAGTTTATGTGGAGCAGAAGCGGCCGGGCCACGGCAGGTGAAATGTTCCTACATGAAGTCAAACTGTTTAATTGTAACATTAATGAGTTACTGGACACACTGGTCTGGTTGGTTAGACCAGTGTTTGAAGTGGAAAACACACACACACACACACACACACACACACACAGACACACACACACACACACACACACACACACACACACACACCAATTAAAATAATGCTGATAGCGTGGACTAGAAGACAGGTGATGGTTTACGTATTTAAATGATGATCAGGCTGCTGTAAAATGTAATCTCCATCCACATCCAGGCAGAATTATCCTCTATTCTTTCTCTATTTGCTCTGCTCCTGTCTGGGCTGATGTAGCTGACGGTGCGCGCGGCGCGCCTAGCTAGCGGCTGATGCACATTTTACGCATTTGGAGAGGTGGGCTGGAAGCTTTGCTTTTACTGGAAGATGGTCCACTTAATGCACGGTTGTAGACTAAATATTAATGACAAATGAATGAAAATTAAATTGTGAGTTTTTACTTCATATTTTAGAAATAAAAATGACGGGGGAACACATTTATGACGTCTTTTTAAACTAAATTTTCTAGCGCGACCTGCCTGCTTCACTTAAGCCACTGCTTATTAAGGTCCGTCCAAAATTACCATGGCCCACCCAAAAATGAAAACCTGGCGCCGCGCCTGTTATAAACCTCTGCAAATTGTTGTTCTTCACTTTATCAAACTCAGACTTTGTACAGCTAATGTCAAGATGTAAAATTATGAATTCAGGCGAGTTCTTCCGTCCCTCCCTCTCCTGCTCTCCTGGAAACCCGACATCGGCTGTCAGAAGCGGGAGGTGAAGAAGGAGATGAGGCAAACTGAGTGAGTGCGACATAAAGAAACCAGACTGGTGTGGAGGTGAGCAAAACAGCTGGAAAAGTGTGGGTGTTGAATCCCCCACGGGTGTGACGCCCATGCGAGCGACCGGTACCGGCTGCTGTCATGTTGTGAGCAGCTCTCTGCTGTCTGAGGGTAGGCCCCGCCCACAACGCTGCGGCCGCTGTGGCTCCCAGTGTTTTCTTTACTGTGGGAAACGGGTAATAATGGCTCTTTGATGGGAACAGGTTGCCGACCCCTGGTATAAGATCTGAGCTGGTAAAACAAAAATCCTCATCAGCAGGCTTTTTTTAAAGTGGGGGGGACACAGCTGCCAATCACAAATTTTGCCGGGGACATGTCCCCGGCGTCCCCGGTTAAAATGACGCCTATGCTAAGAGGCCTAATTTGAGATATCTTGTGTGCTAAAGAAATAATAAAAAGGTTAAAAGTTGTTAAACTGATGAACGATGAAGTAAAGGAATATTCACTTCAAAAGGAGTTGATAAAGTTTTAATTCCCTGTTGTTTACTGTGTACATATACACACCACAATTATGTTATAAATTCTTTGTGCACAGACAGAAGGATTCAATGAACTCAGAAGAGATGCTATTCTGCATTTAGTTTTGATTATTTAAGAGGGAAATATAATTTATTGTTGTGATATTTATTTATATTGTGTTATTGTACAACTTTATAGTAATTTAAGACTGTTCAGGCTCTATAAAGGAGAACAGTAAAATACAAGATCTAAGCCAAATGTTCTCTATCTATAGTTTTCACACTGTTGGTTGACGAAGAAAGAAATGAGAAACGATAATAAATCCTCCCAAGACACCCGTATAATTTGTGGAAATTATTTTGTTGGAACTGTGAAACTAAGTGTGAAAACAGGAGGAAGCAGCAGCTGGAGCCTGGGCTGGTTCTGATGTAGCCAAGCTGCTGCTGGAGCTCTGGTTGAACCACTATTCATCAGTTTCAGTTTAAAAACGAGCTAAATCTATTGACATGAATAACTAACAATTATTCATGTCAATACCTAAATCAGGGATTGTGTGTAGCCTTCTTTTACATTTCTAGAATGTAGAATTTTGTCTTCAGCCTGTTGATGTAGGTTGACACTTTCAAACATTTTTATGTTCAGATTGTTTATCTGGCCTATTTTGAGAAGTGCAAATACAAAAAATCACCATAAAATAGTCTTTGCATTGTTTTATTGAAAAAATCACGGGTATTTTTTGGCCCATGAGGCCTGCCTTGATGATTATGACTCTTGTCTTTAAATGTTTGTTCTGTATTTTTAGCCTACTGCTAAGGCATCAGTAGTTGGGCTGATGGAATCCTGGTCCTCGAGGGCTGCTATCCAGAATGTTTTAGTTGTTTCCCTCCAGCAACCCTAACAATTCAATGGTTGAATATCTGTTCATCAATCTGCAGAAGCCTGTCTATCGCATGCTGTAAATCAAGTGTTGAAGCAGAAAAAAAAACGAATACATGCTGGATAGTGGTCCCCGAGAAACAGGATTCCCCCGTCACAGAGGATAAATCATTTAAATAAAAAAAAAAAAATAGGATTAGGTATTTCAATTCTTCACTGTGAATTTCGCTTTGGTCCTAAACTGACCTGTTTTAGTTGCCTCCTCTTGTCTCTATAGACCAAATGTTCTCTATCTGTAGTTTTCACACTGTCTCAGTTTTTTCAACCCACCTGGTTACTCCGCCTCCATCCTGCAATCATCCCCCATCTCCAACTCACCTGAATAAAGCTCCTCTGTTCCCCTCTCTTCTGTGAAAACCTACCTAACACACCCCCTTGCCTGCATGGTCCTTGTTCCGCTAATGAACTCATCTTCTGTAAAACTCCATGACACAAACTCAACTTTTAGGTTTTCTACATTTACCTCCTCTACTGGAACACCTCAACCCCATGCAGTGATCAGAAGTCTCTGGTTTGATTAACCAGCCTGCCTCTCTTTACAGACCTGCTGCTGCTGCAGCTCTGCCTCTACTCCATCTTCTACCTACCATCAGAGCAGAAGCATCCTGTGACGAGATGCAAATACGTGCACATGTGGTTTTAGAAACAAATAAGCTGTGTAAGGAGCAGCAGAGATGCCTTCCTGTATGTGGTAACATTTATTACAAGTGTATAGACCTGCTCAAACATTTCTTTTAGAAGTGCAAATAAAACTATGTATCTGTCATTTTATAATTAATTATATTTGGGTCTATTTACAGGATTAGACCATTTTCTTTCTTTGGACTTCATTATCAGTAAACAATGAATAAAAGGTAAATAATAGAGGTGTTGACAGTTTATTAAATCAGAGAGAACTGATGAGCTTCATCTAACACCCTTTGATCATTTAAATCAAGAACGCCAAATCTACTATCCTCCTAAATCATTATTACATCAATGTGATAAAAATAAAGGTAATAAAATAACATTTTCCATAAATAAATTCATTTTAAGCAAACGTGCAATTTTTACACCATACTTTCTGAAAATATCATTCTGTCATAGAAAAATAAACTTTCAATGCCAGTAAACAACAGCCTTTGAGTTCCTTCAAAAAACACAGGCCCCTATGAAAGTTACAGTAAATTCTTGCACGTTTGGCACTGTTACGTTTATATTTATTGTTCATTATCACTTCAAACTGACTCAAGGGTCACACATAAGTAAAACTGAAACCTATAAGGCTCAATCTAAAAATAGTTCCTGAAAGAAATCTACAATCAATCTTCAATCCAAAGATTTGAGTTCAAACACGCGTTAAACAGTTCACACACAAGCGTTGCGTCACCCTGGATCCTTGAAGTACGGTTGGAACTGCCATGGTTCAACAAATCAGATAAGATAAAGCAGCATAATCTGACTTGATGTAAAAAAATGTTATGACTGTTTTTCAAAACCCATAAAAACAAGTACACCACCAATACTGCAAAAATAAAATAATGTATGTATATTTTAAATGTGTTTTTGTAAAGTCTCCTGTGTGTTTCAGTCTAATAAATACCCACGGCAAAAACTAAAAGATGGATTGACTCTACAGAGTTACAGCTAAGCGTTACCCTATGTGTTAAATTCACTCTAAAAGGAAACTCTCTTTTGCACAAGATGTGTACACACCACACCAATACTCTGCATAAGGACACCCCAGAGCAGAGAAACATCAGGAATCACTGAGAGTCTAAGTCTAAGCCGTGGATTCACAGAGTATTCATTATTTCAAAGGGTAAAATGAGGCATCAATAATAAATATATACTGTCACCACAACCACCTACATTTAAAATACTTAGCTCTCTGTGTTTATATTTTCATGATGGTGCCGGAGGGTTTGAAAGGGGGTTTAATCCCGTTTTGCTCCAAAGATCTGGAGGAAGAAGGAGAATATGTACACAATGTCCAGGTAGATGCTGAGCGTGGCGAAGACGTATTCTTCTGGACTCATGGTGTACCGCTTGTTCCCCATAAGCAGCTGGGTGTCAAATGCCAAAAACTGCAAAAAGACAATAAAAAGGGAAGTAAAACATCATCATTTGTAAGTCGTGTGATCTTAGCTATTTCCATGTTCTTACCATAGTAAACAGGATGGCTCCCAGGGAAGCATAAATGGCATCCAACCAAGGAACCTGATTGTTATAAAAGATTACATCAGTCATGATTCCAGTAAATCACATGTGTGACATCCATTTAAAATGTGAACTCTTACTATTGTGATTCAGAGTAAAGATGGTGACTGAATAAAATCGTAAAGCTATTAGCCTATAGGCGCTACATTAAGATATTTTTCTATTCTACAATTACAAATTCAGTTTATAAACAGTGCTATGCTATCCGTAAACCCTTAAAGTAAAAAAAAAAAACCCGAGTCATTAAGAATGATGCTGAATGTTTTTATTCCTATGAAGTCAGTGACCTAGTTGCCAAATTTAAATGTGATCACTAGCGTCTTGACCAGAGACATGTCCCCTGGAAGGACACCCTCATGTGTATCTTACATTATAAATGTGGTTATTGTTAATTCACTTTGAACAGCCCAACTGGTGGAACACTTGTTAGGATGTTACCTATATAGGTAACAGAATATAGGCGTGAAGTTGTGTGTTTTATTTGAAATTAGAAGGACCTCGTAATTTGCTTTTAAACAGGTAATAAAAAAATTAAATACGTGTTTGAATATTTTTCTTATTAAACAGTTAAAAGTAAAAATTTTAAATTTCAACCCAGTTTTCTTGAATAATAATAACAGACCTAAGATAAACCGAATAAAATATTATAGTAAAAGAAGCCAAAGTTTATATATGTGGATACATCTCAGGAAGTTAATAATTTTCATATACTAGCTAATAATTCCCTGTGCTAGCGATGCGAAATCCTATTTTTAAATTTTAATTCAAAAGATTGCTCTTTAATTTTGAGAGAAAGGGCAGCAGATCACAACTGTATTTGTTTTAACTCCACAAAAGAAGCATATTTACTAGGCATGTAAGAAAATATTGATATGGCAATATATTGCAATATTTTTTCCTGCTTTATTATATCAATATTCTAAGGTGTTATATAAATTTTTTGGAATAATTTACATGTAAACATTTGTGCATTTGCCTTTCTTTTGGTGCAATTCAAACACCGACCGCTAGTTGGCAGCAGTGTGCAATGGGTTTTGTTTCCACCACTGAAATGTAAATCCCTCCATTATGGTTCAGACACCTCATGTTAGTATCAGTTTGGACTGTTTATTGAATTTTCCTTCAATAATTTCAGTCTAAGAAAATCGCTAATATCATTTGTCCGAATGTATCGCAATATATCGTGATTTATCGTCTCCTCTGTATCGTGATATGTATCGTATCGCCAGAGTTTCACTAATACACATCCCTAATATCTACCAGATGGAGTGCTGGCAAAGAGTTTAATGTCAATCTTTGATTTCTTCAGGTTTCATTTAGCTCATTGTGAAGGTCATTCCGTGTGGAGTTTAAATATTCTCTTCACACGTGCTTTCATCTATAGGAAATCTAATTTTCTCACACTGGTTAAAGCCATGCACATGAAGTTAACTGTCACTAGGTAGGTGTGACGATGGCTGTTACCTAGGGTGTAACTGTCTTGCTCAATGACAGATGGAGATAAGTCACCAGCTACCTTCAACCCAGTTTACCTTTGTGAAGATTTCTATGACTGTTACCATTGTGGCTAAAATCTCAGGGTATCTGTTCCAGACAGCGAGAGACAAGTATCTCACACCACCGCACTAAAGGAAAAACATGCTAAACTGTGCCTTGAAATGATGCCAAGAGAGGCAAGCACCTGTGTGTAAAACCGTCAAGTCTTTTTTGACAAGCAAAAGCCTCATTAGGTTCATCAGATGTGACTGGATATGTCATCTGATCATACTTACATACTGGAACGGGAGCACAACAGCCAACACCAGTCCAGAGATGAACATAACCAAACAGAACATGAACAGCATACCATGGCAGGAGGTCACGTCAAACTGGAGGAAGACAACAGCACATACAAGTAGAGTATTTAAAAAGCAAAGGTGATACATGTGAACTCCAGTATTTTACCTTCATGGTCTGCAGGTATCTGGTATCAAATCAAGCACAGGAGGAGAATTGTTGAATTTATCTCACCTTTGTTTGGAAGCTGAAGATTGTGACCACGAGACAGACCGCTGCTGCGATCCCCAGACACATCACCACCGACTTGGTGTTATAGTAGCTATTGAAGCAACACATGTGCAGAATTATAGATGGTTAAGTTTCACTGAGTACACAGAGTTTAACAAGTTTAATGAACCAGAAATCTGCAGATTAATGGACTATGATATTTGGTATTTTATTTATTTTTAATATTCATTCAGATGAAAACACCTGGATTCAAAGAAACAACACAAAAGAATGATGTGAAGATTTTAAAAATAAGTTAAATAAAGAAGAAAAAAGAAATAAGGAAGAATACCTGGACAACATTCCTGTCATGTACGAAAGCGACAAGGTCTGTTAGAGCAGACAGGAAAGACTTTAAAACTAGATCTGACAAAATGTAATACTACATAAATTAAAAGCTGACAGAAACAAAAATATGGTTTTATAGTAAATTGAACTGAATCCATATTCAACAATGTTTTACTCACAAAGATGGTGAGCAGAATCAGATTCCATGGAAACTGCCTCCTGCAGGGATGACAGAAAAAGTGGAGTTTTAATTACAATTTCTTTCTTGTGAGCTGTTTTTAATATAAACAAAAACGGATTTACCTGGGTGCAGAGCAGCAAGAAAGAGTCAGATAGGTGACAAAGAATACAGCGCTGTCAAACAAAAAAAGGGAAGTATCATTGGATGTGGGCTTGGAAAAAAATCTGTCAAATAGGGGACGGTTGTTCCTGATTAAACTCACTATGAAGCCCAGTACCATCCAGGGTTGGTCTGGATGTAGTCTCTCACAGGGTCGCTAAAGAACACAACCTCATGGTGAGTACTATAAATACTACATTAACTGATTTTTTAAAGGTGTGGATCACATTTTTTTTTATTTTATTTCTGATTATAATTGGTCATGTTGAGTTTTTAATGCAGGCTGAACATGAATGCAGGCTGAACATGAAAACAGTTTCCTACACCTATCTCGTGCATTAGCTTCTGATAAAAATAGCCTGACAGAGCTACGTCACACTATCACTTAACATTCACAGACTCCTCCATCTTGACTCACAACCATCGACATATATACTGGACAATAGGCTCCAATAATACGTTTTTAAGCCAAAATGGGAGGTTCCCACCACCGCCATTTTGACCGTGTCACAGGTTCCGTCAAGCCCAGACAATTCCACAAAAGGGAAAAGAGGTGGAGCTGAGGGTGGGGCTGTAAGGCTGGGATCAAATGATGACATACGCCGAACTGAAGCAATGTAGCTACAAGCTAACCCAAAGCTAACGTGGAGGTGGGAGCTAAGAAAACGGAGGTAGCAACCTAGCTACAACCAGAGTTAACTGTGCACAACACCGGAGCTTCTGAGTCAGAGATGCGTTGAGCTGCCGCTGGGGAGAACCGGGTAGAAAACATCGGTTTCCATCCGAGAGCTCCACAAGCCGGCAGCCCGCGCAGCAGACAGGCGCCGCTGCGATCAGAGATGCGCGAGCTGCAGCTGAGGGGCGGGGAGGGAGACCATATCGATAGTTGGAACCCAGCTCCACCAACATGTCATATTTCAACCCATTTCCAAAAATGCAGCGTTATGTTAAATGCACTATTACATTTCATTTCAATTTCATGGTTAAACAGTACATGTCAAAATCTAAGCTCAGCTAGTGCAAGAGCGGCAGTGACCTAAAATACATAAATGTAATTTTACTAACCGAAAAAAATGAAGAGGAGACTCCTTGGACGCTCTATCAGTGCAATTAATACCACAGCAAGTCATTTTGTCCAACAATTGCAAAAATAATATCCAAAAAGAATGTACAAATGCTACAACTAATGGTCTAAGTTGAGAGACTAAAAACTGTAGAACAGTTTTCAGGTGAGGCCGAGGCTCAGACTGAGGCTTTTCCCCAGAGCTAGCTCTGCGGTCACGTGGGTCTGATGCTCATTAATTATTGAGAATTTTAGGTCATTTAATAAACTTAAACAGAAGAGTGACTAAAAAATTCACCCCCCTCAGAGTTGTCATGATTGTAAACTAGATCTATTAAACCTAAAACATGTTTTGGTACCAGGCTGTAAACATGTTTATTTCTACTGTGAAATTGGTATTTTTAACATGGGAGTCAATGAGGATTTGCTCGCTTCTGACACCAGCCCCCAGAGGATGAGGGTGGAACTGTAATTTTTCTCACTTCCGTATTGGCTTCATTTTCAGACCCGAATTAAGGGGGCTTGCTCACAACTGAAGGTTGTTGTTGGTTTAATGTCCAGTAAACAGCTGAGAACATCACGGCTAGTAGAAACTAACCATTAGCATGAGCAACTCCACCACACAGCATAACTCCTCCAGGCTTGAGTTATTAGTGGAGATAAAACATCCACATTGGAGAGCAAACAGAGTCAATGGCAGAGTTGTGCTGCTGTTATCCAATCTGAGGCAAGATGTCCAAAAATCAGGAAAGAGACTTCAAATCCAGCAGAGTGAAGCTCAACTCTGATGTGCCTCATTTCTAGCTCCTGAAACAGGTGCACCGGATCTTTGTTTCCCCAGAGTAAGACTTACAAGGCATTCATTCCTATGAGAAACCACTGCAATTGTACTGATTAAATATGTGATCCACACCTTTAAGAAACATAAAAGATAAAGGCAGCACTTACCAGAAAGTGAATAGAGCCACAATAGCTACAGTTACCAAAAGCTGGACCAATAAGATGGTGTACACCTAAAATAAAGATGTCAGAATTAAAAAAACAAGATGGAAAGCTTGTCTGAAATTCTAACTTCACTTGGAGTAAACAATAAATTACACATCAACACTTATTTTACTGAGGTACCTTCCGGATGAAGACTCTCCTGATGTTGTGATCATCCCAGGTGAACTCTGTGAGCATCTCAACATCATCGTAGCAAGGAGCGCTGATGCCTACAGGACACAATCATCAACAAGTCAGTATATGCATGTATGTAATCCCAACTCCCTTTACTAAACATGTCATACCTGCAATCGACTCCTCATATATGGGGGGAGATGGTGGCACAAAAGCCTGTTCACTGGTGGAGCCATTGTTATCCTTGTTAGAAAGTGACAGCTGATTGGATAAAGAAATGAGAAAACATGTTTTATTTTAGTTTCTTATGGGTGGGAAATCCAGATCTTAGAGTAAATCATTATGGATTACACTTGAGCTGCATCATAATTTAGCTCCGGCGCATAAAATGCAGATTGTGAGAATGGAAAGGTGTAACAGAACCACAAAATGCATAATTAATACTTTGTAGGATGACAGTTTCTCCAGGCAGCTCTGTTGCAGGTTTTTAATTACAATTAGGTCTGACTTTTAAATTGTGATGGCTTTTGAACCCTAAATGTAGTTTTACAAGTAAAATAATTTTTTACCTGTTTTGCATCACTCTGTAAAAAGCTAATGGGTGTTTAGAACAATAATGTAACCACCAGCTAAAGTGGTGTTGTGAGGAGAGTCTCCTCTAGAGTTAGCCCCAGTTTTTATTTTTATTCCCATCTAAGACATCAATTTGATTAAATAACAAGTAATTATTTTAAAGGGAAAATAATAAAGTTACTTGGAATAAAATATTTAGCTTTTAGTTTTTCATTTAATAACTCACTGGAAATAATACTAAAACCGGGAGTAAACTGTCAATCAGCTCTCTTGTAAGTACACAATGACAGAATGGAAAAAGTGGGGTGTCATGATGACGTTACGCACCGGTGACGCATCTCATTCAACCGAAACTGCATGTCAACAACAATCTATTACAGTATATTTTGGTCCTTAAACAACACCAAGCTTCTGTCATTTAAACCCAAATCCCGATTAATTTAACCTGCCAATTAATATAATTAATTATTTACTGTTATTTGATGAAAACTCTAGTAGATCAGAAAGCTCATTCATACCTTGCCTTGTGTCATGATTTCTCGCCTTTGTCCTGCAGCAGCTCCTTTTTATTTGTTTGATACCAACCAGCTCAAAGGAGATCCTTTAGACGAGCAGGACCTGAACTTGTGATGCCTGCTGGCTCCTGCTGAGACTGAGCACTCAGCTCTGACGACGTGCTGATAACCTGAAAGCAACGCAGTCAGACTCGTGCAGGTGCCCCTCCCTCACCCACAGATGGATGTTCTAGCAGCATCCAGACCAGGCTGCAGCATAGAGAGGAGCTGGGACTGTACCACCACACCAGGAGGAGAGGGGAGGATGTGGACCTGCATGGTGCAGATTAAGCTGCACGGGAGTGTCAGATCAGTCTGTTGGAGTGTCTCCAAGAGAAAACATCTTATGAGAAACTAAGTCATAATTATGAGATAGTGTCTCATTACGAGATAGCTAAGTCATAATTATTAGATTATATATATTTTTTTATTATTAATCTGAGTGGCAGGAATGGGGTTCCACAGAGGGAGGAGGGTAGTGTACTAAAATATTAGAGGAATATCCAGATGAAAGCTAGCAATAGTTTCAGTTAAATAAAGTTAGTTTGAGAGCAATAATTAAAAAAACTTTAAATCACCCCCCAAAAAAAGAGCTATAAAATAAAACACTTTTATCAAACCAAAAAAGATGGACTTTTTAAAAGTGTACATTACTAAGATGGAAACTAAATATTCTGTGTATGATGCAAAAATGTTTCAGGAAAAAACAAACTTGAACTTATTCAAACACCAAGACATTGTTCCTTTGGATTTTAATTCCAGTTTTAAAGTAAATCTTAAACGGTTTTCAGTTTTTTTTTAAACAAAACATGTAAATGCTTCATATCACGTTCACACAGGTGGACATACTGAGGGAATTACAAGTAATCTGGAATCCTTTATGGAATGGTTATGAAATATTTCAGCAGTTTAGGTAATCTGAGTTTATATGGCCACATCCCTAAAACCTCTCATACACAAATCAGGGTATAAACTCTCAGAAATAACATTAAAGAGAAAAAACCCAGGAAATAAACTAACTTGATTTTTCCAAGTTCCCCTTGCTGATTTCTATTTCTTGTCATTCTGTGGTTTAAAGTGTACTCCAGTTCAAAACATGCTTTCATTTTCAGCAACACAATCAGAAATGTAGGTGTGGCTTAACAAGTTTCACTACATCTCCCCCTCCCCTCTACTGCCCTCCAGTCTGAGGTCGGTGTCGTTTCTGCCCAGGGTGAAAAGACTGACGACGGCCATCAGAGCTGCCAGCATCATAACAGCACAGCCTCCAAACATGTGTCTGGTGCCGCCTCCACCTTCCCCTCCACCTGTTCCTGAGACTTCTCCGTGGAGCGCCAGTAGTCCAAGGCAGGCCAGCAGGTGCAGAGGCAGGCGGAACCAGGCTAGCACCCCAGAGCGCTTGTCCTCTGGGATTACCCTGCTCTGCAAAAAGCTAACTGCAGGGAAATACAGACCACAGGCCAGCTCCAGCAGCAGGAAAGCCAGGAAGGATTCATGAGGTCTGGGCTGGCCTGGAGCAGTGGAAAAAGTGAGCATGAAAAACGAGAAGAAGGCCATCAGCACAGCAAGGCAGAGCACGTGACCAGGCTGGAGATGGTAACGAGAGGAGGTGGCCAGCCGGTACAGCAAGGAGCCAATCATGCTAGCTGCCATCAGACAGGAAAACACTATTCCTAAAGGAGGCCCATGAGGGTCCAGTACTGGTGTCCACAGAAAAACAAAAATGTATAAGACACTCTCAAACATAGCTTGCACTCCACCCAAGAGCAGAACTCTCCGATCTAACAGCAGGCAACGCAGCCCCTCTGAGCAGCTGCGTGAGAATCGACCTGTCGTAGACAAACAGGCCACACCTCCATTTGGACTTCCAAGTAGCAGAGTCCGTTTGTCCCCTTCAGGACCTCCTTCAGCTTCTTCCTTTCCCCAGTCTGTAAGAATCACCCAGCCACAGCAGGCCAGGCAGGGGACAGCCAGCAGAAATGGAGCCACTGGCCCCAAGTGGAGCCATTCAGCCAGCAAGTTAGCCACCAGTCCAGCTGCAACAGCGAGGCCGTGATTCCAGGTAGCAGCTTTGCCGAAGGTGCTGGGGATCCATTCCTTTGGGAAATCATGGACTTCCACGTGTCGGTGCACATACCAGGCTTCAAACGTAGTGGTGAGCAGAGATATTGAGAGACCACCCAGAATACGGCCCACAATCAGAACAAAATAATCTCTGGAAAGCTTAGTGAGACAACAGGCAGAGTAGGAAACACAGAATAGGAGACATGTTTGTCTGCGGCCCAAAGCTTGGAGCAGCCAGTCTGAAAAAGGAGCAAACAGAACACAGGAAGCCAAACCACACACATATAAAATGGCTATTTGGGATTCCAGGAAGCTGTAGTGACGGTACAGTTTGTACAGGTAAGGGCCCTGGAGCCAGTCTGCCCACAAAGCCAAAAGGTACGCTCGGAGGAATATTTTCTGAAACTGGCGAAAAACTGGGTTGGCCACAGCAGTAGCAGACTGGGGCGGTGTGAAGCGGCGTGCTGTGAGCTCCAGGCCAACACAGACAGCCAGCAACACAATTATAGCAAAATACGCTGTCACCAACATGTTGTTCTACACAGCACCCCACTGCAGGTCAAAGGTGAATTCTAGATCTGCTTCCAGCTGATTCTTCCCTGTTTCTCTGCACCTGAGAGAACAAATCAGAAAATTATAGCAATAATAAACATTCATAATATTATTTATAACAAATATTATTTACATTTATTAACTATGGCACCATTTGTTTGTTCTGATCGCTCAACAACATCAGTGATAGCCCAACTTCCTTCTACAAGCATCAGCAGGAGGAAAACTGAGTGAAGGTACTAGCTAACTTTAGCTTGTTAGCTAACCTGCAGCTGCGTTTGTTTTTATTTTAGAAAAAAATACTTGAAAAATAACGCATTAGATCTATATATCTTACCGTCGCGCTTGAAAATGACCCCATATTTATGCCACTGAGCAAATATAAACACTGAACAACTCAGAGTGGATGTTAGCAAATAGCAAACACTTCCTGGATCCGGTGTTATGCCGAAAAGAGCACCCCCTGCCTTCAGCAGCCCCGCCCCATAGCAGGAAGCGCAGGAGATATTTGATTATAAAGAAAAATGAAAAAAAGAAAATTATATTTTATTTAGAGCCTCTCAAGATATAAATCACGAGGCGCTTCACAAAACAAAACATTTTAAATATATCAAGGATTTAAAAAAATTATTTAAAAAATATTTACAATGAGAAAAAAAGATGATTAAAATGTAAAAAAAAGGGATTGAGAAAATGAATAGGAAAGAGGGAAGTCAATACTATAATTGTATTACACTGACTTCTCCTTATATTGAAACACTTTTATTTGTATTTTTGTTGGACATTATCTTCTATAATTTTATTAAACTATTTGTGAATACAAAGTTTGTATTGAGGAAACTTAAGCTGCTTATGTTCTTCAGTGACCATAAAAGAAAAATAAACATTAAATTCAATAAAGACCCATATCAAAGCCTTGACTATATTTAAAAAACATTTCAATAATACATTTTATTAGATAATATTAAACTATGAGATGAACCGATGTATGGAATTCCAGTTTGTTATTCTACCAGAGGATGGCGCCAGTACTTTACTTTAGTAAAGTTACTTTACTTCCGAAGCTGCACTTCCAGTGTTGAAAAAGACCATCACTCAGTGAAATCAATGTGTTTATATAAGTGATTTAAAAGTGAAGCAGTAGCGCTATACTTGAATACTTCTAACTTATTTTGATACTCCCTCCAATTATATATTAATAGAATTAATATGGGGTTCAGATTTTATTTGACAACTGGTTATCTTGTGAAAAAAAATGATCTCACATATGAAATGTATTATTAAATTAATAAAATCTAATTAAAACGTTGCAATCTTTCATCTGGAGAGTTTATGTTTCTGCATGTTTACAACCTAAGAAATCCAGACATATTGCATTAAAGCTGTAAAACTATTACTTTCAGTGACATGGCCTCTTGAACACAAGGACTCAGCTTTATGGTATTGATTGCAAATTGGTTTGGAGAAATCAGAGCTTCTGATTTCAAGACTCCACGGCAACAAAAATTTTACCTCGACACTAAATAATATCCTTGATTTCAAGACATTTACACAATTTGCAGTTTTAATCCAGACATATCAATTAGACTTTTGATAGAAGGTTGAATTTGAAGCTATTTAATCCCAAACTATAGTAAAACTACTGCCATGCATCAAAGAAGTACGGTCTTTAAATTGGAATGCAGCATTGCAAGTAGCCCTTGCTTCCAATTTGATATTTCTCATGTAAGCAAAAAATAAAAAAATAAAAATAAGATAAAAATAAAATTAAAATGGACATTTATTTGTAGATTAGATGGTAAATTCAAGGTTGTACTGTAACTAAAAGAAATGTAACCTAAATTGACTTTAGCAGCATTTGTGCAGTTTCTTTCATCATCAGTATTTTATTTTAGGATGGTTTCTCTTTAAAAAATACTTTATTTGAAATACTATGCATGATATTTTTAAATGCAGGACATTATCAAATTCAAGTTTTATGTTTTCCCGAGACATCCTTGACTTGACATTATGCAGCACACTGACTGCAGGGAAATACAAAAATAGTTATGCAAGAATTATGATAAACTTAGTAGATGCTGTTTTACACACGTTGCAAAGAATTTGAACCTTAATGAGTTCAGTCCTATTGCACAGAGAAGTATACATTTATAAATATGTAGTTAAATGTCCTCAGCTAATCCACAATGCTGCAGCTAGAGTTCTGATGAAAATTACAGAGATCAAATCTCTTCTGTTTTAGTTTCCCTACATTGGCTGCTTGTTAAATTCACAATGGATTTAAAGATCCTCCATCTCACATACGAAGCTTTTAATAATCAGTCTCCATCATCGCAGCACATTCTCACAACTGAAGCGTCGAGAAATGATGCTGAGTGACCAAAAGTTTGTTTCCGATGAGTTGGGAGCCCCATTGCGTTGCTAGACAACGCACTGTGCCAGAGCGTTGTTTTCCGACTGCCACGGTAAAGCGGAGATTTCACCGAAATGTGACCTTTACCCTCTTGCTATTTAACCTGCCCCATACCGCCATCCTAACCTTAACCCTCTTGTGCATGCAAAACTTTGATTCTAGTTGTAACGCCCCTCTCCAACATAGTTAACAGGAAGTTTGGAATGAGAAACTGGGTTAAGGTTAGGATGTGGGTGAGGGGAAGGTTAAATAGCCAGAGGTTAGAGGTTAAATGTACAGCGTGGCGTCAGTGAAGAACGCTCTGGCACTGCGCGTCGCCTCCTGATGCTTTGGGACTCCCAACTCGTTGGAAACAAACGCTTGGTCACCCAGCTTCATTTTTTGACCCTTCGGGTGTGAGAATGTGTTGCACATCAGTGATCTGAATATTCCACATTTTTCTAACGGAGCACCTCACTGCAGACGTCAGGCTCACTGGTGGTTTCCAGATTATCTAAAAGTTAAATGGGAGGCAGACCTTTTAGTCATCAGGCTCCTCTCATGTGGAACCAGCTTTAATCCATCAGACAGACACCTTGTCTACTTTTAAGACTAGGCGTGAAACCTTTTATTTATCATGGCACCTTCATCTAAATGCCAATGTTCGCAATCAGTTCAGTTTACTTCCAAAAGTCACGTAGAACTAACTAATCATATTTTAAACATTTTGTTTTAATACAAATTAAATGAGGACACAAAAACAGACTAAAACATAATTCAAACTTTATATCATTTCTATTCAGGACAAAAAACATTTACAAATGTACAAGATGTGCTCAATCAGCCATAATCAAACAAGATAGCAGTGAGAGGACCAATCAAATGAGATCTCTCACCCAAAAATATCACTTTTGTTTGTATGACAAACATTGGGGGGTGGGGGCCAAAAAGGGGCATGAGGGTTTAGTGCTGGTGATATCAGGGACTATGCTGGTAGGAAACATTATATAATAGTAGGAAGTGTACCCAAGCCATCTGTAAATCCCTGCTAATCACGCTCCTGTGCAGCACTCTCTCGGCATAGCCAGACCCCTGCAAAGTACAGGAAGGTAAATACATTCTTCTTCACATCAAAGCTCATACAATGTGCCCGATTCATTAAATCTCTTCAGCAAATCTTACAAACACATTAGGGTAACAGAATATTTACAGTGAGAAAAAATAAACAAAGGAGCTTAAAAGTCTATTGTTCAGGGATCTCCTCCCCATCAGTCCATGTGTGATACAATACAGAGATACAGACAATATATTTTGTTAAATAAAAATAGAAAATACCACCAACTTGTGATCATTCTGTTTATAACCAGGTGGTTGCAGGAAGATGGTTGAGTTGGTAAGTGTGTGGATTTGTGAAAGAAAACACATAATTGTGCACAAATAACACATTAAAATATTGGTCTCATTCCTGTGCCAATACAGATGGTTGGTTTGTGAAATTCAAAACTGCCTTAAATGTTTCAGGTTCCACTACATTATATACAGATTCCCTTTCTACTGAGTACAAACCTATGGAGTCAGTTATCACCAGTAGTCAATTTAAAAACTGCTTTCACCTACAACAATCCTTCAGCTGCAGCCTAATGATGACCTGAATGGAACTTTAGTCTTAATTAAATCAGATATAATCAGAAACTGAACTAAAGTTCTGTCAGAAATGGCAGTAGAAGTTCTACCTAATTCTGGTTTAACTATCGACTTCTATTCTCTGGAGCAATACCTTTAGAGATATGAGAATAATGTATGTACATTATTTTGTATGTGAATGTTTTTGTCTTACAACATTAAACTGATATTAACAATGAGTCTGAAATATGCTCTTTGTCCACATTTTTCCTTTCCAAATACATTCTTCTTATTGCACAATCCCTTGTTCCTCAAAGGAAAAGGAAGTCCTGCCCTTGGAAATAAATAAACATGTGTGTGTGTGTGTGTGTGTGTGTGTGTGTGTGTGTGTGTGTGTGTGTGTGTGGTTCGTTTTCCTAACCCTAACTCTGACCCTTCCCTAGGGGTCAATACGAAAGGCCAACAGTTTGTCAGAATGCATATTATTGAGGGTTCGCAGGTCGGGCAGACGCAGAAGGAGTTTGGGGAAGAGGGCGGAGTCGTCTGGACGACGGCGACTGATCAGAGAGCGAAGGGCGCGGATGAGACCTTCCTGGAGCTGCTCCACAGCTTGCATGTCTGAGATGCCTGAACGATCTGCAGAACACAGTGGGTGATCATGTTAGTGTTTCACACAGTTGGCATGTTAATCATTTTAGGACATTTTTTTTCTCTGTAGCATTTTTTTCTGGTTCCTTTTCTTACCTGCAGATACCAGCACCACAGCCATGAAGAGGGCCATCTCATCAGGCTCCAGCCCCAATGAGCCCAACTTCTCACTAAATTCAAACATTGCATCCAGCAGAGATCCCATTCCCAAGACCCGCAAGGTGGACAGGGGGTAAGTCTGACCGTTCAAGAATGTCACCGTACGCTCCTTGGCATTGAACAATGTGCAAAACCGCACCATGAGAACCTAAACATGAAAAGGAAAAAGTATAAACACAAAAATCAAATTGACCCAAAACTTTCACGTATATAGACTCACATTAAGGGTGTGTAGAAGAAAGAATCGCATATGTATTTGTGTTTACCTGGAAGGTGCCAGATTTCAGCAGCATGACTTGATCTTGCTGGCTAAGCTCCTGAAATCCAGGAATGCCCTTGGCAAACTCCACTACCTCCTTGACAGCAGGGGTGAAACACTGAGAGAAAGACTCCCAGATCTCCTGACTTGTACGTTCTGCTCCTGATACAGGACATGCATTCAGAGGACAGGCCTGGAAGGAAAAAAACCCACACCAAACCATCAAGAAAACGTTCTAAATAGGACATGTAACAATCCTTTAAATTAAGCTTCTTGCACTTACCAGCACTTTTGCTCCAGGTGCTAATTTCCACGGACAGGAAGTCTGGTTGTCGGCACCTTCTGCATTGCACAAACTGTTAGAATTGCTGGAGCTGATTCTTTGACCTGCAGCGTTTGACGGGTTGTGATTCCGATTTGTTGACACTAAACAGGAATAGTGATTGTTGTCCACTTTGTGAAATGCCTGCTGGTTGTTGTTGTAGGCAACGGGGCATGATGCTGCAGAGGCAATGGGACAAGACTGATAACTCTGAGCTGGAGTGAGGTGAGACGAGGCATGAAAGCTAGCATCCTGAGAAAAATTAGATGTGTTGTTGTTGTTGTTATTGTTAGTGATGTTGGCCCTATTGGAAGATCTCTCATGGTTGCTGCTGTTGGTGATGAAGATGTCACGGTAGGCTTTGGAAATGGTCCCGATGGCCTCTTTTGAGTTGCAATCGTCCACGCTGGTGGGGCTGTCCCTTGCTGTGGAGTCCATGTCCATGGCAGGAGACTCATTCAGGCTGTTCATGTAGCTTTGCATCTCATCAAGAAGTCGCTGCTTCTCCCTTTTTGGAATACGACCAAAACGCACAGCTGTATTGAAAATGAAAGCAGGGAGGAAAACATTGATTTCCAGATAGACTTTCATAAAATGTCATTCACAAAGACTGGAATAAACAGATAAAAGGCAACTGTTAAAGTCAGATCATTTTATTTATGTACACATATATTAATAAAAATGTTGAAAATGTTCAAGGAGATCATGAAAGTTGGGAGCTGAACCCCCTCCCTTTCCTCATCCTTCTCCCCATCCTCCTTCTCAAAGTACCCATCAGCTGGAGAGGCTATTTATAGACCCCCTGCTGCCATCTGCCTCATTCTCCCCTCTATCCACCCCTGTCTCCTTCCTCCAGCGCTTCCTCCCTCCTTTTTGTAAGTAGGGCAGTGGGGCAATTCGAGGATGATGTCAATGGCACTGAGGTTGTGGGAGAGAAGATGAGAGGTTGGCTTGAGGTGCAAAAACAAGTCGATGAGGCAGAGATGATAACATGAAAGGGCTGAAACCAGTGTTGAGACATATTAGGTGTATGTGTGTGTCTGGAGATGAAGTTAGATAAGGCCACGAAAAAGTTGATGCAGCTTTGAAGACGTCTGCAGGTGAAGCAAACTGTGCTCATGATCTAAAACATGCAGGAAATGTGTTGAAATCAGGCTGCAGCGCCAGGTATGTCAGCTCAATTTTTCTTAGTCCAGCAGGTGGCGGCCTGCCAGTCTGAAAATGCAAATGCAGTATTCTGGACACAGGGGGCAGAGGGCAGAGGGCAGGGGCGGAGGGTGTTTGTGGCAATCTGAGTGACATTTCATTAACCTTGCAGAGAGTCATTTTAGCACATAGTGGCTCAAGAAAATGATTAAAAATATGAAAAAGTTGCATAGTATGACTTTAAGGTGAGCCGTTTTAAAAGGTACACTTAAAGCAAATATGTCATAATCTTGCTTTTGCCTGCAGAAACTTCTGATGTGGCTGCACATATTAGCGTGGTGTGAAATGAATCCCTTTCATCATGCAAGGAGGCAAATGCAGACTAATGAGCTGTTGTTCTAAAAAATGATGCTCCACTTAGAGGAAGAAAAGTGTTCCATTTTGCCAACAGGCTCAGATATTTGCCTATTGCAGAGCCTACCTCTCGCAGCTGCCTGGTGTGAAATCAGTGTGTACTTTTTATTGTGGGCTGCAGGCAGTTGCATGTGGTTTTCCTGTTTTTGCACTGATTGAAACATAGTAAATAGGGGTTTCTAGGTTGTGGTCCCCTACATTTTCAACCCCTTCAATGGTCCGCCCAGGTGTCTCCGTATCAGAGGTTGTGTTCTGCCACCTAATTTTCTCTCTGCACCAGAAGTGTCAAGCACATGCAGAAATAACACTAACCTCTTTACCAGATTAGGCAATGCAGAGTGCTGGAGGACAGCAATGAGCATAAACCATACTGAGAGGAAGAAAACAGGCGTACAGCAAGTAGGTCACAATGTGTGAGTGGCGTGCACTATAGGGCCAATTCTGTATTGTTTTTCTAGGTCAACCAAACCGTTTCTTTAATGTGCACTGATAGGTGATCAATCAAGGCTTAGGTTTTGGAGCTAAAACCAGGTGAAAGGAGCGGCACGATGAAGATAAGTCACATTGATTATTTTTTTGCAGGCTTTGCTTAATTGCCGCCCTGTTTCTTATTAACTGCAGGAAAATGCTCTCTGTGCATACACAAGGTAATCAAGTTAACCCTGTTCCATTTCCCAAAATAATTCTTGTGTTTGCTGCAGTTTTCAGATGATAGATAGCTTCAGGGACTTCAAGGCTCCTTTTCTCATAAATCACTGTCCGAGGAGGGAGATGTAAGAGAGCTGAGGGAACATGGTGGGTACATAAAGAGGGAGGGGCCTGATAATAAAGGTAACAGTGTGGGAAGATGCTGCAAAGGTCAACAGAAAGACAAGTAACTTAAGGGAGTGATGCAGAGCCAGATGGTTATCGGTGTCAGGGCACTGCCAAAGTAGGTGCAGGCCCGCTGTAATAGGAAAGTGAGTGAGCTACTAGCTCGATGACCCCCCACAAGCCTCCATGCAACACATTTTTCACACAGACCTACATTTTATCACGCCATCTCCACACCCATTTGGCTTACCAGAACTGCACAAGCATTCCTATCATTTAAAAGAAACCATGATGTCTCACCATCTCTTGACATGCCCACTGAGAGGCATTTCTTGAAGCGGCAGTGCTGGCACCGGTTGCGGTTCATGCGCATGATCAGACAGTTCTCATTCTTCACGCACATCTTGTAGTTGATGTTCTGCTGGATGCTACGGCGGAAAAAACCCTGAAACATGCAGAAATAAACATGTCAAATAAAACAGGCGCATCTGAATGAACATATTTTTGTGTCTCATAACTGAATCCCACCTTGCAGCCCTCACATGCATGCACTCCATAGTGGAAACCAGATGCAATGTCTCCACAAACTTTGCAAAGCAGGACCATTCCACCTGTTTCTGAGGAGGGAAATCAGACAGTTAGACAACATAAAGGAAAAACTGGATGATTGTTTATTAGAGGGAGGAAAATACTAACTTGTGAAAGTTCCAGTGAAGCCACAGGGCCTCTTTCCTGCAATGGGATGTGCATATGACTGCTGTGGAGTGGCTGCTGCTGTAGGGGGGCTGTAGACTTCTGGGAACTGGAACACCAGTTTGGAGGTTGGAGTATTGGACCCACTTGTCCTGCCCTGTTTCAGGACCCCAATCTCAGTAAAGGTAACCTCTTCTGGAGAAGAAGGCTGGGAGTGTGAGGAAGGGGACTGTGTCTGGTACCCGCTTGAGGGGCTGCCGGGACTTGGACTGGAACTGCCAGAAGATCCTGCATACAGGATGACTCCTCCACCTGAAATGAAATAACAGAGCGCATTAGGGCTCAAGTCTGAAATTATTCAAGTAATTTTAATTCAGTTCTGACTTATACTGACATGTACCATGCAGTGGAAATGTATTTCCTCCTAACAGATATCTATTTATGTTTCAGGTTAGTGCACACATTTCTCTTTCAGACAAAATAACCAAATTAAATCTAAAATACATTTACAAATGATGATTTCATTCATTAAGAGGACAAAGCTGTGTTATTTTCTCCTTTTCTGTGATTACCCGCATAACCAGCCACACACAGGCCTGATATCTCAAAAAGCTGCACGTTGTGTCATGTTCTAAAGAAATTCAGGAACAAAATAAGCCAGAATGCCTCAAGCACTGCAAGCTAGTTGAAGTTAAAATATTGTGATTCAGCAAAAGACAGGGCAAAGTTGGCCTCTATCCAAGTTTTAAGCCCAAAATAGCTGCAAATTAAAAAGAATATAAAGAAATGCTTCATGTTTGGGGAAAACATTCTGTGGACTGATGAGAAAAAGCTTCTTTTTTTTTTTTTGGAAGGTGTTTGTCACGTTACAGTGGGTGTGAAAATAACATCAAGTTAAACACTGTGGTGGTAGTGTGATGATCTATTTTTGGACCTGGACCACTCGTTTTAACTGATGAAACATGAATTCTGCTCCCTGTTCTGAAAAATAATGTTTGACATTTGACCTTAAATATGCTGTTTATGCCCAGAATCTCAGTTAAGGGGCAGCAGTTCAGGAGGTAGAGCAGGTTGTCCAGTGATCGGAGGGTTGTAGGATCGATCCCGGCAGAGAATAATGCGGTTGTGTTCTCGGGCAAGACACTTAACCCACATTGCCTGCTGGTGGTGGTCAAAGGAACCAGTGGCGCCAGTGGCCTCACCTCTGTCAGGGCAGTTGTGGCTACATTGCTCATCACCACCAGTGTGTGAATGGGTGCATAAATGGATGAATGACTAATGTAAAGCACTTTGGGTTCCTCTGACTCAGAATGGTGCTATACACGGGTTATTCCCTCAAATGTGGCTTCATTAAAACTATTCAGTAAAGAAGAGTGGGGGAGTATTCCTCCAAAGTGATGTGAGGGACTTATCACAACCATTTGTTTGCAGTTTGTTGGTCTCCAAGGTTACAATCAGTTATTAAGTTCATTGAGTCAGTTCCGCTTTCAAGTTTGCATCATTTTGAAAACTGCATTTAACCTCTCGAGACCCGAATTTTTGTGTGATGTAAAATAAAATAAAAATAAAAATATTGACGGGTTTCCTAGAAAAAAATGGAAATAAAGATATATTCAACTTAAATTTAATACAAAATGTTTGCAAATAATAAAAAAGGTCTAAGTTGAAGAGAATAAAATACTAGTGCAAGACAATGGCGCCCCAAAGTTGCTGGCCGCCCAGCAAAAGCCAGTGTTAATAAATCATATTAATTTTGACTCAAACCATGAATTGATCTTATTTATTGAAGACATAATTGTAAAACAAAATTAAAATAATGCAATTATTGAGTAAATAGATAATCTGAATCTGCGATGGACTGGCAACCTGTCCAGGGTGAACCCCGCCTGATTGCCCGTTGACCGCTGGAGATAGGCACCAGCCCCCATACCCCCCCCCCCCCCCCCCCCCCGCCGCGACCCTGCGTGGACAAGCGGGTGCAGAAGATAGATGGATGGAAATAATCAGAATAAAAAAACACATTAGTTTCTGCTGCTCACCAATTAAAAAAGTCTTTATCTCTATAGTTTTTTGTGAACACAGCAACAGGCGAATTAAACAAAAAAATACATTTAAAATACATTTTGAAATAACATTTTAAATAACTTAAATATATTTTTCTGAAATGTTCGTTTTTGTAAAATTTAAGTAAAATGTTTTGGATACGAACTGTTTTATTTTATTTTATTTTTTATAAAAAAGGAGCAATGCAATACATCGCCACATGCTACACTCTTCCCAGAGTTACCACAAGGACCAATTTGGTGTGCAACCCAAACATTTCTTTGGCCCTATCTTGCCACCCCTATCAAAATGTTCTGGAGGCGCCCCTGGTACAAGAAGCCAATGTCCTCATATGTAGACACAGGGTCTCATGAGATTTACATGTGCTCAGGCTATTTTTGTCTGATATGTAAGTATGTGTGTTGATCTGAAAACTTCAAGTGATTAAAAAGTAAAAATGTAAAAAAATCCACGTGGGGAAGATTATTTTTATTATGATGAAATTATAATTTGTTTACATGCAAAGGAGCATATGTGGTTTATCATTACAGTTGAACATCATTAATAGTAAAAGGTCATCCCTAAATTTGGATGTGACGTAATGTGAACTTTTGGGCGCAGCATCGCCTTATCGGGTGAATCTGGCGCTAAAAATACTGCAGAACTCTACAAGAGATTTTTGTGTAAATAATTCTTGTTGCATGTTGATGCATAAACCAGTACCACTAAAAAAACGTGTGTTTATGTCGATGAGCTCTGACGTTCTGCTGCAGCTCTCACATCCTCTCCTCCTAGTCAGGCGTTGCTGGATGCGCTGAGACAGACCTCACGTGTCTGCAGGGTCTGCTGCCTCCTCCACTCCAATAATAGCCTCGCTCCCGTGGCACTGTGCCCAGCGTCAGCTAACAGCACGACACCTGACCGCCGCCTCACATGCATGGACTCCTGACACGGTTACTGCCCGAACCAAATCCGCAGTCTCGTGTCGAAAAACATGAAGGAAGAAGAGATGAGCTGTGTTTATCAACAAACGCAGACTGGAAAGCTCCTAGAACGTGAGGCAGCACCGAGATTCAATCAGCTGTTCGTGCGCAACCGGCACAAGGAAAAACTTCTATTTCAAAAATGCCATTCCTGAAGGAATTATGTGCAAAATCGTGAAGAACTTTTATTTGTTCAGATTAAAACTTCATGCACGAGACATTCGTCTCATGGCAGCCTGCAGTAGCGATCCCCCTGCTGCACGAGTTACGTGTTTAGCTCAGTTATTGTGATAATCCCTCCATCAGCACGTGTTAGTGGATTTGTTGACTCATGCCAGAGTCATGGCCAGGCCACAGCTTGCAGTCAGGCAGTGCCTAACCTCCCACTCCACCCCCAACACATTGCATGTCCACCTGAAGACTCACATGTTCTAGCTTTATGAATGACCCGGGGCATGGGCCAGCTGTCAACACTGTTGATTATTAATCCCTTTAACTGGCTGATTTTGAATGCACTGCAGGAAGTCTCCATAGAGTACATGAAAATCATTTGGCCGAAGTAAAAATCGTTTTTATACACCTATCACCCAATTTGTTTCAAAAGATCATGACATCAAAATCATGTGAGGTTATCACAAATGTGAATAAAATTAGATATTCGGGCAGTTTGCCAGTCCAAGTGTGTGTGTGTGTGTGTGTGTGTGTGTGTGTGTGTGTGTGTGTGTGTGTGTGTGTGTGTGTGTGTGTGTGTGTTGATACACCTAGGACGAAACAAATTTTGTGGAGCCCAGTTTGGGAACAAACCACAAGGAAAATGTTAGTATTGCCATCTTGGTAAATGTGCAGCTCTGGGAAATCCTTGAGCAGCATCTCAGACAGGATTCAATCTGGAGTTAGAAAAGGTTCATTACAAAACCGAATAACTTAAAGCTGTTATAGAAAGTTCGCCAAAAAATATGGCAGCATAACCCAGATTTGCAAAGCTGCGTGAAGATGCATTGATCAATGTTATTTGTGGACACCAAACCAAAGTCAGAACATCTGGCCACAATGCATTGGGTCATGTTTGATGAGAAACAAAGCATGTCTTTGTGAACAACTCATGGTGGTGGAGAGCTTGTTTTGCAGCAGGAGGACCTGAAAAGTCAGTCATGTACACCAGCATGTTTCATGTTGGCACATTGACCCAATGCAACCGCTAACAAAAAGTCAAGGTTTGGCAATGGTTCAAAGTAAAGATGGCTGCTGGATACATTTCAATGAATTCATGCAGTGTTGTAAAGACCAGTGGGCTAAAATTGCCAAATTAGGTCACCCCCTCCAAAAAAAAAAAAAAAAAGAAAAAAAATTAAGAGTAGTTTCAGTCTTTATTTACAAAAACACTTTCATCATGAGTGGTTTCAAATCATACAAACACATTGTTTCTGAAACAATGCAGACCATCAGACTTACGGATTTTGCCAACTGGAGCAGAAGGACATGAGTTACTTCACAGCTTCACATGCTGTCTCCCCTGATTTGTGTGTTACATCTTAATTCATATACTAAGAGTTATGTTACAGATGACAGCTTTGATTGAGTCAATCAGTCCTTCTCAGATACCCATGGAAGTATATAATCTGCCTGTGAGGCAGGCAGAGAAACGTGAGAAGCTGCACCTCCATTAAAAGCCTAGCTATCTGTTTTCTATTATTTCTTGTTTTCACTTCAGTGTTTGTTTGCACTTTGAATCTAATCGGTACAAATGCCATTGCTTCCAGAGAAGATCACATGATAACTGAGAATCATGCAACCGAGGGAGTTATTTGAGCGCATCCAGTCTGCCAGCACTTGTGTTTGCAGCACAGGCCTGTTGTAAGTAGGTCAATATCACAGGAACTTTATAGAACTGTGTCTATGTGCCTCTAGCATCTTCTGGTATCATCCTCACTGCAGCGCTGATTTACACAATTAAACTGCAGAGCCATTTTTCACAAAATCTAGAACAGAAGTGAGTTTCAAAGATGGAATAAAAACACAAGCTTCAGACATGAATAGCAAACTAAGATGACTTTTAATCTGCCAGTTTCAGCATCATTTGAAGAGAGAAAAGCTGAAGCACAGTCACTCTCCTGCAGAAGAAAAAAAACACCCTAAGCGGATATGTGTGCCCTGATCTGATGAGGACGGATGCTGCAGACTCCAAATCGAGTCACATTCTGCCACACAGTCCGTCATTTAAATAAATATCAGAGCGGGGAGGGCGGTAATGAGCAAACAGCGCACCAGGCAGTGAAACGTGACCAGAAAGAGGAAGAAAGTCAATGTGTGGAGACTGACCCACTGACCAAGCTCTCCCTCTTCGCCGCCGCAGGAGGTCCAAGCGGCCATGACAGCGGTGAGGCTGCAGCAGGGGAGAGGAGAGGAGAGAAGAGAGCGGGATCTCACGCGCTGCACGCGGCTTTGCGAGGGAAGCCACGTGAGGAGGATTTTGACGGAGTTTTCTACAGGGAGACACGGAAGCGCGCTCCAGCCAGGAACTATAGCTTCCACAGAGCGCGTCAGGGCATATAAGTAAAGAGCCGCATTAAATGTTATAACGCGACTGGGTGAAGTCTGACTGATCAGCATCGGCGCAGCAGAAGCATGACACACTCAAATCTGACGAATCACGCAAATAATGTGTTTTCTCTTATCTGCGCTCAATGAAGCTGATGTCAACAAGCTTTATTATTTAAATAAAAATGTTTCTCATAAGAAGAAATGGCTCTATCAAGTGTTCTTTAAACACTATGTGATGTTGCTGGGAGCACTAGCAAAAATCAGACTGTTTTTATCATTTTGGGCAGATTTGTGACACGAGGAGCTGAAAAAACAGGGAACTTCCACCAGATGAGGTGTTTTGTCAGAACTTACAAGTCATTCACAGAATGCAGATGAACCAAGAGATAATATTGCGTTATTTCGAAGTATCTGCTCATTTGCTAATATGCAATAGTCCTTTTCCTGATTTTATTACAATCAATAGTCTTCATCATATTTTGAAGGCGAAATTAGTCACACAGTCATGTAAAACTTCCCTCTGATTTCAGAACAGTTTGAAAAGTAAAAAGCAGCGAAGTTGTCTGAGAAAAAAAGTTTTAAATGCGCCTGCACAGCTTTAATGGGTCATGTTCTGCTCCACTCATATCAGGTCACGATGCTTTGATGGGGTAGACGCTGGGCGCGCCCCTCACCTGCGCTGGAACGTGACGGCCGCTGTTGTAAATGATTGACCGTCAAGAGGAAAGCCGAGATCACGCGCACCTTTGGCTAACCCAGAGAAAACACTTCCTGATGCTTATCGCGGAGAGGTCGCGCTGTTATAAACTTTTATTCGCGGCGTCATTATCATAAACTTTATTTGTGATTTTATTCTCTGACAGCCGCTCCACGTGAGCTTGTTTTCATGGAGACTGCAGGAAGTGGCCAACCTCAGCTCAACCACTGGCGGCGCGTTTTAAAGTCCATACAAGTTTGGGATAAGTTGTAATAATAAGTTTTTAATTTATTATTCAGTTGAAATAACAATTAAACGCGTTTGCTTATGGGTTTTACAACCAATCAAGAAACTCATGAATTAGTCAACTTGCACTAAAATTGTGTGGACTTTTTGGCACATAAAGACTGACAAGCTACCCCTAAAAACTATATTTTCAATATTCCACACATTTTTTATTAAGCATGCTCGATTGTTCCATTTAGATTAAATGGAACTTTAATAATAAATGAAAACCACGAGCGTTTTAATTGATTTCCCCATAAAAAGACACAATGCATGTAAATACATAAACACATTAAAGTTATTCTTACCTCCATCAGGGCTGTTATCCATCTCTGTCTCTGGTTGGTTCTGAAGACTTTAAAGAAACTTGAATGTTTTGGAATACCGCTAGGCAAGTCTTCTGAGTAAAAACGTGAAAAGCAGGTGCCGCGCAAAAACACCACGTCTAGATGAAAATGCGTCCAGAGCGCGCCAGCTGTAGCAGGAGTCTGTGTAGGAGGAGAATACTGATGCTGCTCTCCTCGGTGATACCTGGACACCTTTTGGCTATGTGGCGCTGCGCGGCTGGAGCGCACGAGGTGATGCGCGAGCAAAGACTAACTGATTGTCATAAATTCCAAGAAAGTGGACTCAGCAAATCCCTGAACATCGTGAGAATGTCAAGCATGACATACACACCCACTGATACAAACACCCACATCAATCACGTTTGCAGGTGAGTAGGAAATGTGACCGCCTTTCCGCTCGCCCTAACATGTGCGTGCGTGCGTTTGTGTGTGTGTGTGTTGGTGGTGGTGGTGGTGGGGGGGGGTGGGGGTGGGGGGGGATTTGGCTCACTCTTCTCGCAGAGTCCTTTTCTCATCCTCTCCCCCCTTCTCGCTTTTCAGCATTTTCATTGGTGGGGATCTAGAGCGGTGGGGAGCTTGATGCGCTTATTCGAGCGTGGTGTGTTCGGTACAAGCCACGCATGTGCGCTCTACATGTGCAGGGGAGAGCGCTGCCCTACTGATACACATTTTATGCAAAACACGCAGCATGTGATGCAGGGAGGGGTGGCGGTACTGGAGGCTGAGGCACATGGACTAGGCGTGGCTCACCGTGACTGCCGGCCGGCTCTGACAAGCGGAGGGTAAACACTGTTGCAAGTGCCGAATGTTAAACCGCAGACGCCGGAAGTAAAGATGACACACCAACTGCGTGCTGCTTCTGCAGAATGCACCCATTATTATTTATAACGTTTTGCTGTAAATCTATAACGTAAGCTACACGTGAACGTTTCCATTTCACTCACGTCTGATAATAAATTCAACTGTCACGTGGTCTATAAAAAGCATTTGCACAGTTCAACCTGGTGCACAGCTTGTGTAAAGCGCCCCACCGTGGCTATTCAGAGCAATTACTTCTATCTATCTATCTATCTATCTATCTATCTATCTATCTATCTATCTATCTATCTATCTATCTATCTATCTATCTATCTATCTATCTATCTATCTATCTATCTATCTATCATCTATCTATCTATCTATCTATCTATCTATCTATCTATCTATCTATCTATCTATCTATCTATCTATCTATCTATCTATCTATCTATCTATCTATCAATCTATCTATCTATCTATCTATCTATCTATCTATCTATCTATCTATCTATCTATCTATCTATCTATCTATCTATCTATCTATCTATCTATCTATCTATCTATCTATCTATCTATCTATCTATCATCTATCTATCTATCTATCTATCTATCTATCTATCTATCTATCTATCTATTTATCTATCTATCTATCTATCTATCTATCTATCTATCTATCTATCTATCTATCTATCTATCTATCTATCTATCTATCTATCTATCTATCTATCTATCTATCTATCTATCTATCTATCTATCTATCTATCTATCTATCTATCTATCTATCTATCTATCTATCTATCGTCATGTTATTTGAAGTTTGACCAAATTTCGGTCCCACTGAGTCTAATTTTCTTTCTAACCATTTTGCTTATTTTTATAACATTTTGGGACAGGGCATTTAATAAATAAAAGTCCAGTTAGAATATGTAATAAGTGCTGTTCACATATGTGTTTATGTGTGTTGTTTTTACAGTTTTTCTCAGTTGCTTTGGTGCATTTCTCAATAGATCTCTGCACCATTACTAAGGCTCTTCTCAAAACAATTAGCGCAAACTGCAAATCATGGTGGATAACTTGCAAAAGTGAGTCACTTCATCAAAAAGAAAAGTCAGTTGTTCAAAAGCAAGTCCCTTCATCAAAACAGATAATATATTCATCAAAAGCAAGTACTTACATCAATCAAAGTGTCAGGGCTGTCACAATTACAAGTCATTACACCAGCACCTTTGGTCACAAAATCAAATGGTTTGAACATGATCTCATTGTGACGGATTTCTTTGTAGGTGCTTCCCAATCACATGTCAAGTCTGGACAGCATGCATGACATGTGTAAAACCATAAATTGTAAAAAAAAAATCAAGACACTTCATATGCACTCTTGATAATATTTAATTGAAACTGTTCACAGCATTGTGCAACTGGGGAAATACAGTAAAACAAACATTTTACAGCAAACATAAACTCACAGACAGTAAACCTTACTGCAGTAGTTATGAAACAAAAATAAAACTGAACACACCGCTGCATATGATATCTAGACGCTCCCGTCTGTCTGCCCACATATTTTCATCAACATCATAGGGAATGTCAGCTCCATCGATGCATCTGGGAAAGTATCTTCTGGAGTGTAGAATCCACCCTCTGCAGGACTCTGCTGTGATGTCATCACAAGCTGCATCCATAGCTGCTAGCAGGGCCATTTGGGTATGTGGATGCCTGTCATATACCTTCCACCTCCAGGAAGAGAAGAACTCCTCAATTGGATTTAGGAATGGAGTGTAAGGAGGAAGAAACTCCATAAGCATCCTGCCGTGTGCTGCATATCACTGCCTGACTACAGCAGAGTGATGGAAGCTAACATTATCCCAAACCACTACATACAGGTTGTGCCAAAACGACTGCACGTTGTGGAGGTTGAACTAACTGTTGTGCAAAGTTTAATTCTGTTGTGAGAAATGCACCAAAGCAACTGAGAAAAACTGTTAAAATTACAGTATTATTACGTATTACCTCCAGTTATTACCAGTAGTATTATTATATAACTTGTTGACCCATCAGGCATAATAGATTGCTTAATGTCATTACTAAGAAAGATCATGCAGAACATTCGTTTTCAACTACTTTAGATAACATCTTCATCACATTAACCACAAATCCTTCCACAAGTATAGATGCGGTTGTTTTATGTATATACTTCACAAGTAAGACTTTTAATATATTTACTATTTTTGAAGAAGTACAGAAGTACAGAAGTACTACTCCTACTCTTACCCCTCCTCCTCCTCCGCCTCCTCACCCTACTCCCAATCTCAGTGTGATAAAGAAGAAACAACATTTTCCACGGAAAGAGTGACTAAGATATTTGAAGTGAAAGTATCAGATTGGAAGTTTTTTTGTTTGTTAGAATTTAGTTTAACTGCAAGGAACTTATTTTAGAACTGCTAAAATGTTTTAAAAAAATCTGAACAAAAAATGTAATGCCCATAAATAATTATTTGAACAGCCTCAGTTCAGAGAACTGAGTGAGCTGCTGATTAGTTTGAGTGAGATCAGTTACAAATTGCTTTAAAAACAAACAAACAAACAAACAAATATATATATATATATATATATATATATATATATATATATATATATATATATATATATATAAACATACATTTTTTGCTTGGTTGTTTGTTTGGTTTTGTTTTTTAACAACCTGCATGAACTCTACTTGAGGTCAATGTTTTGTAGAGTGTATCTTTGAAAATGCTGTGATCATACAATAACTTCAGTTTGGTGAAAGAAATTCTACTCTTACTCCTCATCCTCACACACACACACACACACACACACACACACACAAACACACACACACACACACACACACACACACACACACACACACACACACACACACACACACACACACACACACACACACACACACACACACACACACACACACACACACACACACACATTCAAGAGCATGCCACTTACTCAAACTACATAGTTGCATCATTGAAAGCACATTTTCATGTCAACAGTGTTATCAAAATAAAAGTCCTGACATCATAGTTTATGAAAAAGATGGCCTAATGGCTGTGTCATGTTTTCATTATGACGATTCACTCTGGAAGTGTTTTCTAATGCACACAACTCAGATCTTGTTGACACTACCTGACTAGACACTATTAGAACATCTATTTGAACCCTACAGTTCAAATTAACAATTAAAGTAAATAAGCAGAACCTCAACGGAGAATAGCCATGCCTTCCGTCTTTTCATACAGTTTTTCTCAGTCGCTTTGGTGCGTTTCTCATATCAGAATTAAAATTCTCATACCTATTAGTTCAACCTCCACAACATTTAGTCATTTGTGCACATCATAGTAGCAATTTCTCCTTTCTCTGAACAAACTGCAAATGATTTTGGACATGTATCAGTTGCTTTCATACAGTTCTCTGCTGTTTTTTGACATTTCCATTTGCTTATGTCATGTCAGTCAAAATTAATTGTACTTATGGATGCTGAATAGTCATTCTCAATAAAACTAATAGTTTTACTTTCATTGCTTGAGTCATTACACACAAAATTGTTGAACTAGTTATCAAATGTCAAATATCAGTCATCTGTCAAGCAAATTCTATACCTTTCTTTATCATTTTATTCTGGAAATGTCTCCTAAATTGAACTGTTGATCACAGGTGAATTTCATCTGTCACTCATGAGGAGGTGAATCCTCAATTGGCAAGCATATTTGAACTGAGCAGGAGCTAGTGTGTACCATTTCTATACTTCTGTATACTTCTCCACTCCAGGAGATACTTTCCTCGCTGCATTGCGAGGGACGACATCCGTTGTGATGTAGATGAAAATATGTGGCCAGTCGGACAGGAACGTCTGGATGTGCCAGAATGATTTACTGTACCTGTATGTTACAGTACTGTGCAATACTGTATGTACTGTTACATGTACTGTATATTGTTCACATTTGTGCACAGCTCTACCAAAAGGGTGATTTTTTGTTTACATGTATTCTACAGTAAACAAGTGACTGGAGCATATTTTTCTTTTGCACAATGCTGTAGAATTACAAACACTTCTATACAGTAAAAATGTAAAACGTACGTATTCAGTGTCTCAGTTACTCCCCAAACTCCCATAACATCTACAGTAACTTTACTGCACATTTCAAATGGCTGTACAAGTAGGGCATAGTGCTGTCTTGAGCATTTTCTGGTGTCACCAAATACTCTTGCAATGGAAAACACTGAAATTATAAAATGTCATAGTGAAAACATGACAAAGCCATTTGACTATCTTGTTCATAGAGATGGTGTCAAGACTTCATTTTGATGGCACTGACAGTTTCATTGACATGAATACTTGCTTTTGAGGAATGGATTATCAATTTTGAGCATGTGACGTGCTTTTGCAGGCTATCCACTAGGTTTTGCAGTTTGCACTAATTGTTTTGAGAAATGCACTAACTGCTGTGCAAATGTTAATAATGCTCTGAGAAACGCACCAAAGCGACTGAGAAAAACTGTAACTTCAACTTGAAAGATATTTTCAGATTTTGACAAATAATTCAACATTTTTGTAGGTAGGCAACTAAATTAGGACTATTAGCTTTTA